GAGTCACCCCCAAAACCAGCCCAAAACCCGCCCAAAACCCCAAACCCTGGTTGTCTCGCGCACCCGCCTGCCTTGCGGATCGCTTGGAGTTTTCCGTTTGGCCCGTGGGCGGCGCACCCAGGGGTCCTCTCTCCGGTGGGAGCTGTAGGAATTTAGGACAGTTTAGCATGGTCTAGAGAGTTAACTACTATTATTGTTGGTATGATTATTAGCATTATTATGATATTGTTATTATATACATATATAGTACGAACAGTATAGTATACTATGCAGTAAGTAGCGTACTATGGAGCATAGGGTTTAGCAGTTGAATGGGGTCCGCGCCTACAGCGTTTCCGCTCTGAGTCGGCCCTGCCCGCTAACCCCCAAAGGCTCCCATGTACCCATATGGGAGTTTCCAAAAACAGGGACCCTAATATGGTACCCTAAATAATAAGATCCTTATTATAAGGACTCCAAAACAAGGTACCCCCTAATTTTCGGAAACTCCCATATAATAGATACTTAGGCCTTAAAGTACCTATTTAGGGACCCCTTTAAGGCTTAAGTATCTACAAAAAAGGTACATGGAGCCTTTTGGACCTCAAACCCGCTTTACGGGTTTAGGGTTTACCTTCTCGTAACTCGGACTCTATAGGGCTTAGGGGTTCCGCAGCCCCTTCCTAAATCTTGCACTTACCGTACACTCGACGACAAATCGTAAGCCACAGTTCACGTCAGAGATCGGACGCCGCGCTCCAAAACAAGTTGTAGCTCAAGGGAATATGGTTTGGGGTTTAGGGTCGCCCCGCCAACCCGCACCAGATCCTCTCATATAGGGGCCTTAATAATTAGAATAGGGTTTTGGGTCCCCATTGTGCTATACTGATAATATGGAACCCCCAAAATAGTTTAAGTAATTATTATTTAGGCCCCTATTGTAAAGCCCATACTGGGAGACCCAACTCCGATTCTACTGACGGCAAAAGACGGTGCAAAAGGCCACTACTCGATGCAGGCCTTGTCGCTGAGGAAAGACCTGAGCATACTACAGTAAGGGGGTCTAACTTATTAGACTAGGACTTGGGGGTGAACTAGGAGCACTTGCTCGTCAAAACCCAGAAAGAGTTACGGACTTACCGCATTATCAAGCCAAGAGCCATACAGCCGGAAGCGCCCGACCTCTCGAATCACAGTCTGGGGTGCAGAACTCAAGCTCGACCCATATTATCTGGCTATAAACTGCATGCCTATTCTCAGGGTGTAATAAGGTTTCACAGGGGGACTTCAGTGTCGTTGTTGAACCGCAGCCTGAACTCGCTAATCCCCAACCCTTGTTGCCAGATGTTCCAGACAAAGCAGTAATACCTATAAACTAGAACTAAATATGGACAGAGCAACACGGGGTTTGCAGAGTCTTAGCAGGGCTTTCTCTCTTTATGGATTTCGCACTGGCTTTACAAGGGTGCCAAGGAGACTTGAGAACGCCAAGCCCAATCCACCCTGTTTCAAGTTCGCTGGGTCAAGCTGCTTAGTCAAGCTCTCAACCCTCAAGCAACCTTCCACGACTCCTTAAGGCCGTTAAGCAAATCTAAGCCGGGGCCGTATCTAAACGCGCTTGGACACCCTTCTACCCAGAGACTCCAATATCCATTAATTAAGGAGTATACCTTGAATTATAGTAGGATCCTTAATATGATTTAAGGTATATTCCCTAATTAAGGAATATCTTTGCCACCCGCCCAGCTGAAACAAGTCGCACCGCAGGTTGGAGTCTCTGGGTACCAAACCCTCAAGCCTACACGGCCTGGCGGCCTTGCCTGAAGCCCTCAATGTAAACCCTTCGCCGTGGGCCCTTCTTTGAGCAGCGGCCTGGGCGCTCTTTCAGGGATAAGCAGAAAATGCCTGTATAGCGCACATTGCTTACCTACAGCCTCTTGGTACGCATCGTGTCTACCGACTGTTTCTGTTTTCCCTCGGGACCTAAGGCCATGCCCCCGAAACCTAAACCCTCCAACACTGAACCCTATAAAACAAATAGCGCTGGGCCAGCGACTCGGGTATACTGGCCAGCACACGCAGCGAAAGATGTCGTGAGTGAAGCTCCAAGGCGGCACAGCGCTGCAGGAGGAGTTCCCTGCGGTGTGTGCTGTCTTCTTCTGTTGTGGCCCACTCTTCCGGGTTCAGGTTTTAGGAATTTGACGGCTTAGGGTTTGAGGTTGCTTTGGTATGAATCAGATGTTTATCGTCTTGCTCGTATAGGGCTTAGTGGTTCTGGTATTTTTGTTGTCGTCGTTGCTGTTGGAGCCGCTCTCATGGTCGAGGATCTTCTAGGTCTCGGATCTGTCTTCAGGGGTTTCGGCAGCGGATTATCCAAACCTACTGTTGATGTGTCTGCGGGATATCTCGGGGTTTGAGTACATAATAGACATAGTTTGCCTATTAGCAACACGAAACCCTGAAGGCCTTGTATTACTCCCTCTCGAGGCTGCTTCGGGCTACCGTAAACTCTAAACGCTCCAGTTTCCCAGATAGTAGGTTACGAACCAGAAATTGTTGACCGACTTTACCCCAGTAACCTACTATTTAGGTCACTGGAGCCCGAGGGTGAATTATAAGGGCCCGAACAAATAGCCGTATTTTACCATCCCGATAGGTTCCTTGATTATTAGGGTTCTTATTATAAGAATCCTGCTATGTTGGTGTTATCTTGTTATGGTGTTATAGGCCCAGGGGTTTCTAATTAGGTTCCTACATTTTAGTTGCAGTATAAGTATGCACCAAAAGCTTCTAACTGCTAAAGGTGTCGTGATATGCTAAGGTATACCCTCATTCTTAGACCCTGAAACCCTCAAGTCTGGGTGTAGCGTCTATAGACATGTTGTAGATCGACGGGTAACCTAGGGTGTCGTTTTTGGTTTAAAGGGGGTTAGAAGGGAACCTAAACCCTAAAAAGGGAATAAGGGCCTACTCTGGGTCCTAGTATTTGGGGGTCTCTGATTGAGAGTCTTGGTGTTTCGACGCACACGCTCGCACGAAGCAGGCACGGATTCATGAGGTCAGACTTGCTACCGTTACATCAACGGCGGGGCGCCACTTCAGGTGCTTCGGATTCCGTAGCTAAGGGCTGTACAGTTACAGGTCAGCAACACCAAAATCCAAACAAACCTTGGAAACCTTGCGCACCTCAAGTCAGCCCATTTCAGGGCACCGCCTGCGTCATCTAGGACATCCTGACGCAAGTCTAAAGCCCAGCACAGCCCTCATAAAGACTCCCGTTACAGCTGCACTGCTACTGCTACTGCTCCTGCTCCTGCTCCTGCAGCTGCTGCTGCTACTGTCGCTGCTACTGTGCTACTGCGAGTACCACGACCGCTACTACTACTTCTCCTGTTTCTGTGTCTACCACAGCTATTCAAATGACCATTCTTGTAAGACTACCTAGATTGGAGCACCCTACTCAGAATGTTTCCACTAGACGCCCTTTCTTCCGGTTTCTGCCGAATTTGAGAAGGCGGGTCCTCGATGACACGGCACCAAAGGGGGCACGAAGCAGAGAGCTCCATCGTCATCCAGGATGCCGGGGGGGCGATTTGTGGGTTTTTGGGGGCTCAGGATGCACGGGTTCAGGGATCTGTAGGGTTTAGGCAGCCTTAGGATTTCAGATCCGGGTTCAGGGTTTAGGGGTTTATAATAGGGTTTAGGGGTTTAGGGGCTTAGGGTTCATGCGGGACTCCGCTCGGGGTTTCGAGGCATAAGCAACATATTTCGCTGTTGTGCAGCGCCTGATTTTGCCTGGGGGGTGCCCGGCAGGCATTCAGGGTTTTCTTGTTCTCAGCCAGGGGTACTCTTGGGGCAGGTGTGGTAATTCTTCGGAAAAAAAGGCTAGGCTTGGCCGCACAGAGAGATGTCCCATGCTGACATATAAGGGCAGCAGAAAGCTGCTACAACGCTGTTGCATGCGTGCCCAGCTTTAGCTGCTGGTGCAGCAGCCATGCGAAACTTCGGCAGTGAATACAAGTACAAGCACTTCTGGGCTCTACCTTTCGTGAGGATTCTGCCGTCTCTGGGGTTTTGAGGATTGTCAAACTCGCATGCAAAAAACGGGTAAGCTGAGGCCCTTAAACCTTTTTGGTAGCCTGGCGGCCGGACTCACTGATGTCAAAGAGCCGGAAAACTTCAATTCTGAAGCATGACTTAGTCAACTGCAACTCCTAACGCTCGACGCTCGTCAGGCAGAAAAGCCGGCAAACCCGATATGACGGGTCACGGGACCGGGGACGATGCTCCGGTAGTGGCAGATCTGAGACATCATTTCTGAAATTCGCAAGAATCTCTGGCCTTGGTGTTGCAAAACTGGTATGGCGATGCCACAGTTCTAGCCCTGTGAAAGGTGATGGTCGGTCATATTGGTGACCGGCTGCAGCCGTGCTGGTGGTGGTGGTGGTGGTGGTGGTGGTGGCGGCGGTGAAGCTGGCAACCATAGGCCGACCAGTGATGATGACGGTGGCAGTGGTCATGGTGACGATGGCGACTACTGCAACCCCTTCCCCCAAATATTAAACGGCCGGGTCCTCTCCCCCAATAAAAGACCCAACATGCTTGTTGTTTGTTTGATATGAAGGGGATAGCTTTACTTTCCCTTTCGGGAGATCTTGCTCTTGCTCCTGCTGATGATTTTGCAGCACCCCGCAATCCAAAATGGTCTAAGGCGGTGAGACGTTTAGGTGGATGTTTCCAGCAAGTCTGTTTATGGTAAGTGTTACTGACCTTTGTGCAGGGTGAAAACGACGATACACACATAACATTCTTGCCCACCATCATCAGCCCCCTTTACATTCTCGCACGAACTCTGCATGTCGAACCACATACGTGGCAAGCACTACTGGAATCAACCGACAAACGATGAACACGGATGATGTATGTAACTATATATCTCGTGGTGGTATCTGACCGCAGCATCCGTACTGCTTTGATGAGGCCCTACTTCTTCAAATCCTCCGGAGATTCCAACTCCAAGTTCACTCATCATCATGCCACTTCCAGGTGTCATGCAAGGTTGGATTCACCTTGGGCATTGCTACGACCTTGTCGTAGTCCCAGGTCAACTTTGTTGGCGACAACAAGGACAGGTTCAGGTAGCTTCCAATGCTCTGCTGCTCGGGCTTTAGCCTGCGAGGGGCCGCGAGTCTCTGGAGGCCATAAGTAGGGTTATGAGTACCCTACTTGGGATTTTAAGTAATTATAACTGTGTTACCTTACTTATAACCCCAATTACTAAGTCCCATCAAAAACACCCAAACAACCTCCAAAGATCTCGAAATTGCACGGGGGCGGGGGGCGGCCCTTCCCGAGATTTGCCGTCGATTCTTTGATTGAGTGCGGGTGGAACATACCAGGCTCCTGCTAGGATTCCCATAAGTCCTAAGTCTCGAGAACTCAATGTTACATGGGAGTTTCCGAAAATAGGGGACCCTCATTTTGTACCCTAAATAGCAGGATCCCTATGGACCCAAAACAAGGTACCCCTAATTTTCGGAAACTCCCATATTATGTGATACCCTAAGTATTAGGTGCCGTATTCTAATAAGGACCCAAAAGGGGACCCTGATTTTGACAACCACCGACTTGTCTTCCAAGCAGCCCGCGGAACTCGATCAGCGTGTCATAGTAAGCCTTCTGGATGAGGATAAAAGCCGGTGCGAGCCTCAAGACACAGTCTGAGTTCTTGTTAAGGAGATTAGTTTAAGATACCATAATATATAGGGACCTATAGTAGTTAAAGAACATGGCTCTCTCGTTTCATTGTGTACAGTAGTTTAAGTTGCCATAATAAGGATCTATAGTAATTCAACAACATGGTTTCCTCGTTTTATCATTACGGCAACTTACAAAAAAATCCCTTAACAAGAACCCACCAGAACACCCCCTAAACTCTCCACTGCAACAGACCGTGCGCCCAAAACCTGTCAGCCACACCGCGATGCCAGGGTTAACAGCCTATGCAGATCTCATGCCTAGCCACCTTACATCATCAGAATAGGGCTCCGTTGAAGGGATCCTTAATTAAAATAGGGTTTGGGTGGTATTTGAGACTATATGGAAAATAAGGACCCTATAGTACCCTGAGACCATCAGGAACAAACCAGGCTTCTGCACATGTCGGGGTTAGATCCCCAGGCCCGAAACCCTACACCCTCAACTCTAAACCCTAGACCGTCCAATTAGGGTTTCGGCGCTCAAACTCGGACAATCCAGGCGAGGCATATGAGTTCGCGTCTGCAAAGTGAAACGACACCAATTAGGGTTTAGGGTTAAGGGTTAGTCCCTGCGGAGCAGGACCAGAACCCCCAATACCCTAGCTAGAGCGATGATGGTCTCTAGTACTGTGGAAACTCTCTACTCAGACCATTGCCTTACCTTTGGTTAGTAGGGAATCGAGGAATGGTGTACAATTATAACTACTATTGCTACCATTCTTCCATTCCCTACTAACCAAAGGCAAGTTGCGGGGCATCCCACGGTTCAGACATTCGGTGATCTGAGATTCAAGGCATTACGAACTCGCACTCTTCAAGATCTCCAGAAATCGAAAACTTCATCAAGAAACGCAGGAACACATATAGTACGCACTGGCACGTCAATGGGAGCTCGAAATAAATGTGTTCCTGTGCGTCGACGCATTCCACAAAAACTGCATCTCAAGCCACGGTGACCACTCTTTCGCCAAGTTGCAGGAAAGCGCCCAGAAGCGATGCATTCACTTGCCTCTAAGGTTCTCTCGCAGATGCCTAGGGGCCTTAATAATTACCTCTACTATTTTGGGGCTCTTTATCCTGACTATGGTATAACATACCCCAAAACCACAAGGCCTCCTTGTTACAATTATGGTATAGCGTACCCAGAAGCTGTATTCGAATTATCGAGGCCCTCTATTATAGATCACTTATAGACCCCTTTTAAGGGCATGGTATAACATACCCCCAAACAATATCCTAACTAGTAAGGCCCCTATACTACTAGGCTTGGGGACATGCGGCTGCCAGGGTTGGGCTTCATTCCCTAAGGCCCCCTTGCAGACCTAGCGTTTAGGGTTTATGGGTTATGGGTTTAGGGTTAATTATGATGGGTTTATGAGTTAAGGGTTTAGGTTTAGGGTTTAGGGTTTAAGGGTTTGGGGTTTTAAAATGAAGGTTTACGCAGTTAAGGGTTTAGGGTTTAGGGGTTTGAGGCCCTAGACCCTGAACCCTTTTCAGTCCGACCTAGTCTTAGGGTCCAGTGCCTTTAGCTGTTCGACTGGTGGGGCTGCGCGGTGCTAGGTGCATACCAGGTGCCTTTCATCTTTTTGCAACGTGTGGATTAAAGAAGACTCAAGTATGTGGGGCTACATATACAGACATCTCAGCAACTGAACTAGGCTTTCGGCTTTCAGGGTTGGGAAGCCATAACATGTGCATGTTTGCATAGAGCCAAATCTCTCTCTCTACATATGTATGCATATAGAGAGAGAAGGGGATCTCTCTCTCTCTCTCTCTCTCTCTCTCTCTCTCTCTATATATATATATATACGTTCTAAATGTATATATCTATGAAAAAATCAACATGTATACTTACTAGGAGCCCTACGAAACATAACTTTCCTGTGGGTCGCAGGCCCCAGCATGGGCTGAAAGGGCTAAGGCCTGGACCTATTTCCCCAAAGCGCACCCTGAATGATTTAGAAAGTTTAGGGTTGAGGGTCTGTCTTATGAGAGACATGGAACAGCTGTTCAAGGCTGGCCCATGCTCTCCCCCTCATGCCCCGGGAAAGGTTAACGGTCTGCGGCATTGATTTCACTCAGTTGAACTGTTAGGGTCTGAGGCGTTCATGTCAGTTGAACTGTGAACCCAAAAGCCTGAACTATTGAACCGCAAAGCCCTTAAACCGATCTAGCTCGAATCCTAAAATCCTCAAAACCGTAAGTCGACAATCCCGAAGCCCGAAACCCCCGAAGTCCGGCGTGACCCCAAACCCTAGAACCCTAATCCCAAAACATCGGGAAAGTGCAAGGACCTTGGCGTAAGGTCTCTTCTCTGAAGGAACTTGCTCCTTCCTCAGAGGCGGCGGCACAGCATTTTAGGGTTGAGAAGGTAGCGGATTTTTTGCTTTCGGCAGTCCTTGCAGCCGTGATTGTAGGTCTTCAGCGTTAGTAGTGCTTCCCACTTGCCGGGGTTATGCGGTAATTTGCGGTTGCCTTCCGGATTATGCTTTGGCATGTAGGATTTTGGTGGGTGTGAGTGAGACCCACTTCATGCCTCCGATGGTTGCAGGCTTGACATCTGAATCGTTGAGAAACCTTCGCCACATGAAATGTAGATCACGGGTTGACAACCGCACTGTGTTCAGGCCCAGCTAGTAGTCATGTCATCGCTGTTGATCTAGAAAGATCAGGCAAAATCCTGAACAAGAGGAGTATGTAGCATCCTTGGCGCACGGCTGTCGAGCTTTACAACCGGAAGTTAACGACATACCCTAAACGCCTACACTCCTTACACAACTTAAGATTTCATACGTACTGTTATAAGCCCAAGACGCGGACGGCAAAGATCAGCGTGCCGATAGTCATAGTCTCAAGCACCCCAACCTGGGTTGTTGCTATACCCTTTTCTTCAAGTTGACAGAGCCGGTTTACCAGCCACAAGACTTTGTAGAGGTTCTCAGGTCTTTCCCAGTTCTATGTTCAGCTTGTCAGATGTGTATAAACAACTCAGCAGAGAAACAGTCATACATAGGAAGCAGCAACTGTACCCCAAGGGTCCTAAGGAGTCAATAATTAGGTATTCGGTTTTAGGATAGCGGTTATGTAGGTCCTACAATGTAGGCTAGGACTTTGGAGAGTCTATGATATTGGGTACTTGGACCCTTGGGGATAACTAAAATCAAAGGGAAAAAGGAGGGACCCTTAATGGGGACCCCGTACCCTATGATGGGCTATATAGTGGGTATATAATAGCTATAATAAGGGTATATACCTAGGGGTCCTCATTAAGAGTCCCTCCTTTTGCCCTTGGAGAAAACTCAGCTCCTTAAGAAGAAACTCAAACACTAGACCCTGAACCCGAAACCCTAAAACCCTAGACCCTAAACCCTAAAACGCTAAACCCTGAAAACCCGAACCCTATATATTCCTTAAGAAGAGCCCGGCAGCGACGGCAAACTTCTCTGCCAAGCTGTAGCTCAAGGGCTCTGCTTCCTTCTTGGGCTGGTCATCATCCTTCGACGGTTTAGGGGTTTGGGGTTTAGGGTTCAGGGTTTTGCAAAACAAAGGGGCCTTAATTATTTGAATAGGGCTTCGGGGTCTCATTCTACTATAAATGCAATAAGGGACCCCGCCAAAATAGTATTGGCAAAGCCCTCCGGGTGTTTGGTTTGGTGTCGTAGAAGGAGTTTGTCAGGGGTGCTAGCTGCTAGATGCTTTTATCAGGGTTCGATGTACCAATTCCTCCCGGGTCCCTGCTGCAATCCCAAATATTTCCTTAAATGGGCCCTATTAGGTCCTTATTATGGGCATCAAGGCCCCCTACCCCCCCTCCCCCTACCCCCGTCTCTAAGGGTCCCTACGATTGAGGGTACATTACCTGCAGATCCCAGAGTCATCTCCCCCGGCACATGAGTGCAACAATTGGCGCTATAAGTATGTGTAGGTGTTCTCCCAGTTGTAAGCCGACTTGCAAAGTCAACCGTTTCAGGGGTTTGGGTTGAGGGCTCTACCCTTGGGGTCTACGGGAAAAACCTGAAACCCGTGGAACAAAAGAACATAAACGCAAAAACTTTTCAATAGACTGCGCACTACCAAAAATGCGCCACCCAATGCCAGTGAAGGGGCCCAGTCATCGATCCATGGATGCACTCTTCCCATGGCAGCGATCTGAAGCCCAAAAGCCTCCGAACCCTACACGGTTCACCCTGAAGCTGCAGATTTTTGAGTGTGAGGCGCAGGTGCGAGGTGCTTCGGAAATCACGAACTACAAGAATTGAAACTCAATTCTCCAGCATATAAGCCTACGGAGGTGGAGTGGTTTTCGCGGTGAACAGGAATTATGTTCGGAACTGTATCGGTTCATCTGTACTGTCTTACTGCCCGTGCTTGCGTTGTGGTGTGGGGAAGTGGGTCCATGGCTTACAGGGTCCAATAAGGGCCGCTGATTCTTGCAACAGGGTCTAGAAGTATGTTATGCATAATATAACCTATACTATACAGCCTATACATATAAATCATATTAAGAAACCGTCAGGAGTCAACATTTCGTGGATCTTCAGGCATCTTTATCAAGCCCAGGCTTTCATTGCGAGCCCTACAAAAACCTTCGAGCAGAACGCCTTGAGGCTTGCAGGGTTTCGGGGCTCAGGGCTTAGAGTGTCGCTAGACTTGTTAAATTTCGACGGAACTGATATGATACGGGTAGTGTCAGGATAATAAACCTTTTCGGGTTTAGGGCAGTCTAGGGTTGACCTTGAAGACCCAAACCCCGCAACTTATCTAGGTGGAGCTTCTAGAGCCTTTGAAAAATATTAGTAAATAAGATCCTCCTATGCCCAATAAGGGAAATATAAAATGTCCCAAAGCCCTACCTAGTTATCAAATCTCAGCATCGCTTGCTTGTTGATCCCATCGTCCCTCAGCTCAGCCCCACACACACACACAAAAAATCTTGCAACATCCCTTACGACCTCAGGAACTCTGTAAACTCCTCCATACCAAGCACTACAGTACAAGACCCCTCGTAAACCATACTCCCGACATCGCTGCACCCAGTTCCTGCAATGAACTCCGTCTTCTGCTACGATTTCCATGCAGAAAAAGCAGGGGTTGGACATCCGGAAGTAGGGCGGGGCCGAGAACTGCAAAACATGCCGGCAAACACCCGAAGCTGCTGGTCCCAAAACATGAAAGCAAGCTTCACATAAAGTCGTCCCTAAGCATCAAAACAGGCTTCTGGCATGCGTTCGGTCGGCTGTTTCTAAACAAATCGATCATGTCTCGCGATGGTCTGGGTCTGTGTTCTCACTGAGAGAACCCCGGCTCTGCAGATCATCAGCCCCCGTTTCAGCCCTGGGTTAGCCTTCTGAGCAGCGTAAGCCTTATTAAGAAACGAACCTTAACACCAATATAGACATGTTGGCACTATGTAATAAACTACAACCTTTAGAAGAACCAATATAGAAATGCTGACACTAATAAAATATGACCCTTAAAAGAACCAATATAGAAATGTTGACACTAACCCTTGCGGTCTCCTCCAAAGCAACCTACAAGAAGCCCTCGCAAGAAGCCTGCGCAGTCACTGATGTCCCCGGTGAGGGAGTCTATGTCAGTCTATGTGCTACAGGCTAAGGCTTCGGCTTAACATGGTTTAGGGTTGAAATTGTTAGAGTCAGTGGCGAATTTGTCTCGCCACTGTTCGTGACGCAGTCCACTCACGAAGAATTGAGGCTCTGGGGAAGATGTTGGGCGATCTCGCCTCTGCAGAACTGGCTCTGGCAAGCAGAATGGACCGACCCATGCGGCATGAGCTCTACGCCACTGGCGAGCTTCCAAGAACAGGTGCTGAATTTCTGCTGAATCGAACTCTACGCATTCGAGCCCAAAATGCCCTATAGCAGAGAATTCTGCACCTCACGCTTGGCACAGGGTTTGGGATTTATTGCCCTCCAAACGGGGCAGCCCCAAACCCTGTGTGGCAAAAAGTGCTATACATGACGGATTAGTGAAGAGACGGAGGGTCTAGGGCTCCGGGTACTCAAAAGTTAGGCATGGAAACCTGACTCTGAGGGGGAAGGAGGCAGTCTTGAACTATACTATACCCTTTCAGCACGAAAACAGAAGCACAACACACACCGAAATTCCGCCGAAACTTGGCAAACCGGTGCTCGGGCATCATGTCAGGGCGTCAAAGAAAATGGAAGCCGCCACGGCTCCGGGATCAGCATTGCCTGCTGAAAGGATCAGGGGACTTGCGTTTGATGATATACATCCTGCATGACCCATAATGAGGACTATACCGGAATTTCCAACGTTCAGGGTGTTTAAAGTAATGCAGGACTTATATCATCAACCGTAGTAACCAAAGCTCTGAGGGTGTAATACAGGTGACATTTAAGGGTTGCTACAAGAGCTTTCGGCTAGGTAAGCCCCAAATTCAAAAAACGCCTGAAACCCAATCCTGCGGCTTAAAACAAGAGGCTCGACGACAGGCTTTTCATTGAGTCTTTCACTCGGACAGGCAGTCTTGCGGGTTTGAGGGTTCTTGAATGCCAAGCCATGGAAAGACCATATCGACGCTGATTTCAGGAAGCCCTGCGTGAAGCGGTCTAGGGTTTGGCATTTAGCATAGAAGGTGTAAATCAAAGTCGAAGGAACCCTAAACCCTGAACCTTACCACCCAAAGGCTCCATGTACCATTATAGTAGATGCTTATGCCTTAAAGGGGTCCCTGTATAAGTACTTTAAAGCCTAAGTAACTATATGGGTACATGAAGTCTTTGGGTAAACCCTACACCCTAAACCTCATAAGCCCTAACCCCGTTCTCGGATCAGGGGTCCTGGCCTTTGAGAACACTTTCCGGCACGTTCTCCGATCGCCCGGCCTGAAATGCCAAGCTGGTGAGAGCCGAAGGATGGAGCCTCGAATGTACTTAGAAGAAGGCCCAGAGATCCCACTATATACCCCTTAATTAAGGAATATGCCTTAAATCATATATTAAGGCCTCTTTCATTTAAGGTATATTCCTTAATTATGAGGGGTATTGGGTTCCCTGGGGGTTTTCAGGTGCATATCAACCACAAACAGGGGTGAGGTATTCATAATACGAGAGCAAGGCGCTTCCTCAGTTTCTGGATCTTCGTACTTCGAGTCCTATCCCAAAGGCTCCATGTACCCATGATAGTAGAGACTTAGGCCTTACAGTACCTTTTTAGGGACCCCCTTTAAGGCTTAAGTATCTACTATAAAGGTACATGGAGCCTTTGGGGATGGTATCGGGATCTACGTACCTTTTTAGGGATCCCTTTAAGGCTTAAGTATCTACTATAAAGGTACATGGAGCCTTTGGGTATGGTATCGGGATCTACGTAAGACGGGCAGGGTTGGGGTTGCGATGTAAACCTGCCAAAATCTTGAAATAGGTGCCGCAAGGCTAAATCGCAAATCTCAAGGCTTGAATTCTGAAGATAACCCTGAAGCCCCAAACCACACATCCTAATCCCTGAAACCCACACCCCCCTTCCTTAGACGAATCAGAACCCAAATCCTGCGGCCCTAGGCACCCCTTCGAAAGCCTGCAGAGGGACCTGAAAGAAGGAGCCCTACAGCCCCTTCAGGTAGGGTTTAGGCTACATTTTTTCTCCCTCCTACTTAGCAAGGATGAGGCCCGCATGGCAGGCTTCAGGCTTTAGGGTTTAGAGGTGCAGGGTGACCCCCTTCTATCTCCTCAGAACCCACGACAACCTAATACAAGCCTTACAGAAACCCTGAAGAAACCCCAAACCATTGACCCCAAGCTCCAAAACCCCCCAAACCCCTGAAACCCTACACTCTTGAACCCTAGTATAGGGGCCTTAACACTTTCAATAGGGTTTTGTGGCCCCTCATACTAACATTACAATAAGGAGCCACCAGTATAGTATAGGTAATAAGTATAAGCCCCATAACAGCAAAAAAAAGGGAGGCGCCTTTGGCTTCATCTCCTTCGTAGCCTCGGCGCCGGCCTTGGCCGCTTCTGCAGCACCTCTCTGAGAAGGTGCGGGATGCGTCAAATTCCTTAAGGGCTCCTTCCCGAAGACTCCAATATCACGGAAATGAGGAATATTCCGTAAATTATGGTAGGATCCCTTATATGATTTGAGGTATATTCCTTACTTAATGGATATTGGAGTCTCTGGGTTAAGAGTGCCTTTCAGGGTACCTTTAAGGGTTCCTCTGAGAGTCTCCAAAAGCGCCCCCTTACAGGTTCCTGGGGTATCTATAAAAGGCTCCTTTTCAGGGTTCCCTATATTTTATGGATATTGGGATTAGGGTTTAGGGGTATAGGATTCCTATATTCCTATGAGGGTTCCTGCAAGGTGTCCTTTAAAGGTTTATTTAGCGGCTCCCTGAGGTTGCCTTACGGCACCCGAATAAGGCCTGAAGGGCTGCTTTCAAGGTTCCCTTAAGAGCTCTGTTAAGGGTTCCGGGAAGGGCTCCGTTAAAAGCTCCCTTCAGGGCTGCTTCAACGTTGCATGGCTCTTGCATGAGGCTTGGGGATTCTCCTCGGTAGTTTCATTAAAGCCCTTGTGGGCTGTACCGTTAATCGAGCCTGTGTAGCTGCAGCGCAACATGGCAACAAACCTATTCCCAATCTGACAGTAATTGAAGTCGTTATCTTTATAACTTTAAACACTAAACCATACAAGCTTAACAACACTAAAGCCTACAACCTTAAACCCCTCGTTTACCCTATAAGCATGGCCGCTGAACCACTGTAGCCCTTATAGAAACCCGAAAGTCCCTAAAGGAACCCGACATACGATAAATCCCAAACCTCTAAACATTTTATGTTTACGCAGCCCCTTATAGAAGTCTCAAACTTACATGAACCTCCGACATCCCCTGCTTCCCCAACCCTAAAGCCCCTAAACGGCCTAAACCTTTATAGCTATCATTGTAGGGGCCTTTGTAAAGGAACTCCGAAATCACCGTTAAGCACCGAATGAACCCGAAACCATGGCTCCTAGAGCCTGACAGCCCTTATAGAAACCGTAAAGGAACCCCAAGCATCCTAACATCCTGAGCCCGACACACCTATACCTGAACATGTACATTGATGGCCCCTATAGAAGCCTTACAGGCATCACCATAACATGTCTGTTCATGTTCCTTATACTTCGAGAACGAGGAAACCCTAAGGCTGCACATGTAGAACCTGGGCCTCAAAGCCGCTCCCATATATGCACTTTAACTAAATATTTAACTATATGCTATACAGGTACGTGGAGCCTTAAACTGTAAACCCTTATGGCACCCTGAACGGAGCCCTTGCAGATCCATTTATCGGCCCATGGAGCCTTAGAGAAAGGAGCCCCGACCCCTAAACCCTTTTGCAACTGGCCTGCTGCGACTCCGCCCCTTTTTTGAATCCAGGCTCTGCGTTATCAGCTGGGCAGCAGGCATAATTCCTGCCTGTGGAAACTTGAGCAAGTAAACAAATTCTCACGGACATCCTAGAGCTAGTCAAACTCCATCACATCGTGCTGTGATTCGTCTGCTCCGGGTATGTGCAACTCCTGAGCTGACCGTGCACGTAGGCGGTGGCGGTCTTCACGTCTTTGTCGTTTTTGAGCCATCCTGTCTATCCCGTGCTGTTCAATGAGGGTCTTCTCTGATTGGAAGTCATGTGAAGGATCCGTTTCCTCCAAAGTCGATGGTGTTGAAGACGACGCAACTCCTGGCCATAGTCGTGGCTGGTCTGATGCATCTGCAATTTTCGTGGCTGCTGAGGCTGGCAACTCATGCATCTCTGATTGCAAACGAAGTGAGCGAGTCTCGGAATGCAGCTGTTCAATGACAGCGTTTTGCCGACGTAACAAAGACTGCGACTGCTCCTGGCACTGTTCGGCCCTCGCCACGACAGCGTTCATCAAAACAGAGTATTCTTTTTCTGTAATGACGTTGACCTCTGTCTGGACCGACTGATTGGAGACATTGCACCTGCCGCTGGCGCAGCCTGAAGCATCCGTCTTCGCATTAGTCGAACCAGCTAGCGCAACCAGGACGATGTTCACGGCGTTGAGCTGCATTCTGGCTGCCATCCTCTTAGCATAGCCCACACACGACGTGAGTTTCCGCATCTCAGGATGTTCCATCGCACATCAACCTAGTGACAAAACCAACTGTACAAGGGCTTGCCCAGTAGGGCCTCGTAACCAGAGCGGCTTGAGTAGGGAGCCCCTAAACCCTAAACCCCTGAACCCCAATCCCCTTTATAGAACCCTTCAAGATCCCTTTAAGGAACCCTTATGGGTCCCTTTAAGGAGCCAGTATATGTATCCCTTTAAAGGAAATGTAAGGAACCGTTATGGATCCCTTTACAGGAACCCTTATAGGTCCCTTTAAAGGAACCCTTATATGGATCCCTTTAAAGGAACCCTTCTAAATCCCGTTAGGAACCCTTGTATGTATCCCTTTTAAGGAACCCTTTTGTGGATCCCTATAAAGGAACCCTTATGAGATCCCTTAAAGGAACCCTTATAAATATCTATCAAGGAACCCCTTAAAGAGATCCATTTAAGGAACCCTTATATGGATCCCTTATGGGATCCAGTTCAAGGAGCCCTAATAGGGATCCTTTCAAGGAATCCCTTATAGATCCTTTTACAGGAACCCTTAACTTATATGTACTGTATCCCTTTAAAGGAACCCTTATGGCCTCCTGGGATCCCTTAAAGGAGCCCCCTTAAAGAGATCCCTTTAAAGGAGCTCTATATGGATCCCTTTCGAGGAAACCCTTAAAGAGATCCCTTTAAAGGAACCCTTCTATAGATCCGTTTGAAGGAACCCTTATATGGATCCCTTTAAAGGAACCCTTTTGAATCCCTTTACGAAACCCTTAAAAACTTATATGGGATCCCTTTAAAGGAGCCCTTATGGCCATATGGGCTCCCTTAAAGGAGCCCCTGTAAGAGATCCCTTTAAAGGAGCCCCTTAAAGAGATCCTTTAAAGGAACCCCTTAAAGAGATCCCTTTAAAGGAACCCTTCTATAGATCCCTTTAAGGAACCCTTAACTTCTATGTATCCGGAACCCTTTTCTGGATCCCTTTAAAGGAGCCCCTTAATCAGATCCCTTTAAAGGAATCCCTCATATAGACCCCTTTAAGGAACCCTTAACTTATATGTACTTATGTGTATCCCTTTAAAGGAACCCTTCTATAGATCCCCTTAAAGGAACCCTTAACATATATGGATCCCTTTAAAGGAACCCTTATGGGATCCCTTAAAGGAGCCCCAAGTCCCAAGGCGTCGGCGCCTTGGAGGCCTCGGTCCGCCAGGAGCGCCTCGGCCGCTGGGAGCAGCGCATCGAGCATCGTCCGGGCACCTCCAACGGCTTTTGGGATTTTAGGATTTTTAGGGTTTAGGGTTTTTGGGGTTTGGGGGTTTTAGGGTTTTAGGGGTTTGGGGGTTTTAGGGTTTTTGGGGTTTGGGGTTTTGGTGGTTTTAGGGTTTTTGGGGTTTAGGGGTTTTAGGATTTTAGGGGTTTTCGGGGTTTAGTGGTTTTTGGGGTTTAGGGGTTTTAGGGGTTTAGGGTTTTTGGGGTTTGGGGGTTTTAGGGTTTTTGGGGTTTGGGGGTTTTAGGGTCTTAGGGGTTTGGGGGTTTTAGGGTTTTAGGGGTTTGGGGGCTTTAGGGGTTTAGGGGTTTTCAGGGTTTGGGGGTTTTAGGGTTTTTGTAGTTTGGGGGTTTTAGGGTTTTAGGGGTTTGGGGGTTTTAGGGTTTTTGGGGTTTGGGGGTTTTAGGGGTTTAGGGCTTTTGGGGTTTAGGGGTTTTCGGGGTTTAGGGTTTTTGGGGTTTAGGGGTTTTAGGGGTTTAGGGTTTTGGGGGTTTAGGGGTTTTCGGGGTTTAGGGGTTTGGGGGTTTAGGGGTTTTAGGGGTTTAGGGTTAGAGGTTTAAGTTTTTGGGTTTCGGGTTTAGGGTTTTGAGGGCGATAAGGGTTTTTGAGGTGATAAATTATAGGGTTCCTTTGAAGGGATCTACAGGGTGTAGGGCTTTGGGGGTTTAGGATTTTAAGGTTTTTGGGGTTTGGGGGTTTTAAGGTTTTAGGGGTTTAGGGGTTTAGTTTTATTTTTAGAGTGTGTTGGGCCTTTCTCCGCTGCAGCAGGTCACAGGCTCGCCCCTTCCAAAGGTTTTAGGGGTTTAGGGTTTAGGGGTTAGGCTCTGAGGGTTTAGGGTTTAGGGGGTAAGCTGTAGAACAAGGTTTTATGGCTCTGGGTCGAAGGTTTGGGGTTTAAAGTTGTTACGATTTTGGGACCTTGGGGCTGTGTGGCTTTCTGGCTTTGGGCTTGAAGGTGTAAGGGATTCATGCAGTGGCGGCTGCCGGGCGTCCATTACGCTCTGAATGTGGGCGATGGATCTCTCCAGGCTCTTCCTAAACCCTAAACCCATCGAGTCCTTGCGTAGGGAGTAGGCCTGTCCGCTCACAAAGTTCATGTCCTCTCCAACGGGTTGGAGCTTGGAGCGAGCCAAGTTCTCAAACCTCTCCCAGATCGGCGGCGCCTCATTTAAAGCACGGGTGGGGTCAATCCCATCCACCCCAGGAGCCACTGCAGCTAACTTGGTAGGCAGGTGTTCCAAATCTTTTATCGAAAAGTTCCACTCGGGCCAGCGTTTCTTTGACTTTCTCCAGTATGCCCTGCTGCGGGGCTCCGGGGGGGGGGGGTAACAGCCAAGCTGGCGACTCCCCTTTCCAGCTGGTCAATCAGTTCATTCAGGGTCTTCACCATGACTGATGGTAGAGCTGCTGTTGCGGCTTTGTCTTTCAGACTTGACAGGTTCTCCATAATCGGGTTTAGGGTTGAGGCTTTAAATTTAGGAGTGTTTTCAAAATTTTCAAATCTTTTCCATGGTTTCATATGCAGAAAGGTCGGTCGTGGAGTCTGGGTTGTTGAAATGGCCACATTTGGGCAGGTTTCGATGGTTTCAGGTTGGCGTTTGCGGCCTATAAGGGGATCTTACTACAAGTCACATTGATTAGAAGAGTGAAAATACACGTTGCATTTCGGAGAGTATATGACTATGAGGTACTTGGAACCAGAAGATTGAACTTTAAAGGCCTTTGGTCTGGGGTGTTCTGAACTTTTAGGGTTCTGGAGCTTTATAAAAGCCTCTGGGATTGGGTTTTCCAAGAGTTGAGGGTGTCTTCTTGGCTTCGATTTCAGAGTTTCCTGGACGACCGTATCCAGAAGCTCCGTGTCCCGATTCAGGATCGAAGGGGTCTCGGGATTGACGTCCCAACCCTAAACCCTAAACCCTGAACCTCCGGATCCCAAGGACCGCATCGACCTGCGGAGATCCCCGTTCCAACGGCTCTGAGACAGAACTTGCCTTCATGCGTCTTCTTGGGCAGGTCTAGTCTTAAATCGCAACCGTCTTTTCTACAACCCTCAACCCTGATACCCTGAAAACTCCAAAACTTACGTATATTGAACCCACATATTGAAGGCCTCACCCTGGAAACCCTCTTAAACCTTGAAGATATTATCTTTATACAGACATACACATACATATATCTATCTGAATATATAAATGTATATGCATACACCTGGTTATCTCTTTGTTTACCCCACTTGGTATGCTTACATAAGCTAAGGCATGAAGCATCAACATCACATCATCAAATGTACATATATATATATATAGATAGATATGTGTATGTAAACTTATACTTTCGCAGAACCTTAGCAAACAAAAACCTTGAATAACCCTTCTACAAGCATAAAATCCCAAACCTACTTGTCGGGTATCATGGGAAACTGAAGGTTAACCTTTTGGTTATATAAGGATTATATAGGGACTATACTACCCCAAAGAAGGTTAAAGGCTACCTACCCTAAACCCTAAACCCTAAACCCTAAACCGTCCTACTCTACTACTAGGTAAAAGCCCGGGCCTTTGCCCGCGCCGCCTGCGTGCATCATGGCCTCCAGACCAGCCATGAAGGCCTGGAGCAAAGGTACGATGCTACCGTTTGGGGCTTCAGGGTTCCAGAGTTTAGGGTGTTAGACAGTGCTAGGGCTTCGGGTTAGAGGATTTAGGTTTGTTTTAGGGCTTTAAGGCTTTAGTTGAGTTTTTTGTTTGAGGGCCATTCCGCGTCTGCACGATGGTCCGGCCTGCGCAAGCCTACCTGAGGCAAGACACTATGTTTGTGTTTCGGTTCTAGGGTTCATTAGGGTGTTAGAGTTTCAAGTTTTAGGGTTTAGGTCTTCAGGGTCCTGTTAGTATGGCTCTAGGCTTAAGGCTCTACACCCCGATGCCTCAGCCCTGAAGCCCGAATTAAACTAGGCCGTTCTAACTAACCTTATACCAACCCTTACAGAACCCGTTAAAGGAGCCTTAGTTCCCAGAGACTCCAATATCCCTTAATCAAGGAAAATTCCTTAAAACATGGTAGGATCCCTTATATGATTTAAGGTATATCCCTTAATTAAGGAACACTCCTTAAAATATGGTAGGATCCCTTATATGATTTAAGGTACTTAATTAAGGGATATTGGAGTCTCATAGACCCTAAACCCTATAGATCCCTAAAGGAACCTTAGGTATCTTCCCTAATTTAAGTCCCATGATCCCCATTATAGAACCCCTATAGATCCCTTTAAGGAACCCTCTGGGTTCATCTCTAACTTACCTTATACTAGAGATCCCTTATAGTAATCCTTACAGGCCCCTTTACAAGGAACCCTAAGGAACAGTATACCCTTACAGAACCCGTTAAAGGAGCCTTAGTTCATCTCGGAATCAAGGCGCTTTTGGGCCGGAGGTCGACCAGCTGTTCGCCTCTTTCCCCAGAGCACCAGACCTGGATTACTTGGAGGATCATGGGTTTAGGGGTTTGGGGGTTTAGGGTTTAGGGGTTTAGGGTTTAGGGAGTTTAGGGATTTAGGGGTTTAAGGGTTTAGGGGTTTAGGGTTTAGGGTTTAGGGGTTTGGGGTTTAGGGGTTTAAGGGTTTAGGGTTCCTTATAATAAGGATCCTACTAGGGTGCTATATTAGGATCCCCTATTTTTGGAAACTCCCATTACTTGGAGGATCAAGGTTCTTTCCCTCCTACCTAGCAAGGACGAAGCCCTCATTGCAGGGTGTCTTGGTTGAACGGTCTTACAACAGCTGCATGTGCGCTTTTGGGTTTAGGGTTTAGGGGAGATGAACTAAGATTCCTGTAGGGGTTCCTTTAACGGGTTCTGTAAGGGTTACTTGGAGGATCATGGGACTTGGTAAGTCAGGTTATAAGTACCTCAAGTGGGCTTATAAGTGGTGAAAAGTATAGTGACTAAGTCCCATGATCCTTTAAGTCAGTTTTTTGAAGGTTTTCTGAGGGCCTTTCTTCAGCGCCGGGTCCAAAGCCCACAAACCCTCTGGGGCTTTTAGCTTTTAGGGATTAAGGCGTTGTCGCTTTTAGGGTTTAACGCTTGGAGTTTAGACTATACGGCTTACAGCTACCGAAGATTGCTGTCACATGTGAGAGATCGGAAGCCCAACTTCCTTTGTCTACACCCGAAAGCCCTGTAGCCCTGGATCGCTGAATAGCAAAGACAGCTCGGGTCATGAAGGATCCTTAAGAGCGTTGGTGAAGCGCCGCTCTGCAAAGCACCCTAACCTGCCAAGACCGGAGTCCGAGATGCATTCCCATGAACATGATGCTCAGAAGAACGCCGCTGGAGCCGCCCATGGTCCTTCAATCATGCTCAGACTAAAAGCACCCAGTCTTCGACATTACAAGGCTCTATCCAACGCGAAGCCGGTTCATCGTCAAAAAGAGTCCAAGGAGCCTCGACACAGGAAGCCTAAGGAACCAACAAGTTTATAGTTACAGAGTATGCCGCTCCACGCATACTGAGCTACTGTTCCTTCAGGCGACGCTGTGTCAACCTTATTGTCGTACCCATGGTCGCAGTAGCCTACTTACTAACTAGCAACAACGTGCTCTGCTTCGAGAGAAGGCTGCGAAGCCGAGGCCTTTGACTTCCGTCAACTTGGGTCATCTAGATATCATACTCAAAGGCCCCAAAGTAGTTCCTTTTTGGGGTGCGTATATAGAATTCTATAAGGTAATCCCAAAAAAGAACTACTTTGGGGCCTCTGGGTAAGGACCCCATGGAATACTTTGGGTACAGAAAGCAGGCAACAACATCAGCCGAGCTGGATTATCGGCTAGGCCTCCAATGACTTCGCGGCCCAAACAGACGGTACGAACCCGCTTAGCTGATTTTTCGAATTCTCGCCAAGTAAGAAGAGCGTCTGTGGTTGCCTTAGGGATCTTAGATCAAGCCTAGACCCTAAACCCCACCAGTCCTGCCCAAAATATCAGAGAGGCAGCCGCACAACGCCTTGGGGTCGGCGAGGGGCAATCGCTCCTGTGAATCCACGCCGATAGTTGTACAGAGATGGCTCATAATACGCTTATTGTAATTTTCATGTGCTATCTGCTATCATATAAAGAGCTCTATATTGGGAAAAAAATCGATTCCATAATGTACGGTTTCCCATGCGAGACCATGTACTGATATCCTGTTCCCTGACATCTTGAACGAACATGTCTTTTCGATTAACGGGAAGGGTTTGGGGCCTGGACCTCAAAGTCCAGTATTCATAAGGACCCTTAAGGGGGTAGGGGGAGGCAGGTAGGTGGCCTTAATACCCATAATAAGGACATAATCAGGCCTATTTCAGCACTCACACTCGGACAAACTTTGCCTCTTTAAGGAAGCATAGTCCCTTACCCTCTCCCCCTTACCTATGAATGATTGTAGACTGCAGTACCTTACAATGTCTAGTTGCATGTTGTGAGCATGTTCCAATGCATCCTATTTTAGTACCACTATCTTACAGCAAAAAGACGTGATTCAGGTATGTTGTTGTAACGCGTCATAACGATAGAAACACATTCACAGTACATTAATATGTTAGAGCAAGTGCATTGCAGCATATTGCCGCAATGTTTATCATAGTAGGCCATACGGTAGTTAATTATATTAAACTGTAGTCGTTCTTCGTATTTTCTTGCACTGAAAGAACATTCTGAAGAGGTCTCCTGATCTGCCAAGACAGAGCTGGCAGCTTTGGCCATGGTGGAACCGCAATCTGCGTCACCCACCTCGGATGCTCTTAAGTTAGGCTTTCGGGTGCTAGGATTTAGGTTCGTGTTTAGGGCTTAGGTTAAGCCGTCGCACACCCTACCAAATTCCAAATGCCAAGCCTTCAACCCTAAACCGTTTAAGTGCAAACCTGGAGTCCTCAGCCTTGAACTATTTTTAACCTTGCATACCTCAACACAGTAAGCTCTTGTGTGTCCCTCGCATTGACGAAGCGCTCCCGAACTTCAGTGTGCTTAGGTGTAAACGGCTTTAATCGCTCTCGCTCCCTCCTTGTCCTACTAACTGCAAGAAAAGCCCGGCACGCCTCAACAGAGAACTCCGAACGACTCAGAACGTCCTGAACGCTACAGAACCTGCACACAACACATACATGCACTGCAGCTACGGCTAGGCTTTGACTTGCAGCACCGCAGCAGGTCTATATCTAACAAAAAAGGTCAGAACTGTCCTAATCAGCTACTATAATCAAGTTAAACGGCCAACTCAGCCAGTAGATTTCAGCCAAGGCCTAAGCAGCTGAAGCATATACTTTACTAGCTGCAGCCCCTTCTGAGACTCAAGACCTTGCTGTCCAAGTCATCGAGCCTTAGCTGCTTCTTGCGAAGTGAGGCCCTAAACCCCGGCTGGCTGGGGTCTGGGTTTCGTTGTGCTCGAGTTTTGAGCGATTGGGCTTTATTGAGGTTTGAGGTCATTTTATCAAGGGGTGAAGTACCGACTTGGTTTCTGTCTGGTTGGGGGGTTGGCGATGGGGGTGGGTGGTTCACAGGCCCAGACGTTGCTTTGCCACGAATTTGTATCTAGCTTTGCTGGGGCTCTGGGAGTCTGAAGCCCTACAATCCCGTCCCCCAGCTGAACGCGTTGCGGAGTTGCTGGGCTTCGGCCTTAGGGATAGGGTGCCGCCACAACAAGCCCTGAACCCAAGAGCCTGAGAACCGAACGGTGCGACAACCTGAACGCACCGGTCCTAAAAACATCCTCGAACAATCCATCAAAGCACATCAGGCTGGGTTGTGATTTGATCGCCCCCTTTCATTGAGTGCGTGCCTCTAAAGGAGTACCTGAGGGAAACCAGCATGATTCCTTGGGTACGGCCCCCATACAGTAAGAGTCTGTAATAGGGGTACTATTAAGGTCCTAATATATCTATATTATGAACATTATTCAACTATTACTGAGTGGGGGCCGTACCCAATATATAGGGACTACACTACCCCAAAAAGGTTGAAGGTTCCCTACTCCCTTTTTGGTTATGTTGGGATTATATAGGGAGGAAACCAGCATGATTCCCGATGTCCCAAGCAGTAGACCTTAAGCGTGCAACTGGAGGGCCGCAGTTCGCTTCTTACACCGGGAGGTAACAGGAGGTTGGGTTATTTCCCCTAGACCCTACCGTAATCCCAGATAACCTACACTTGTAGGGACTTATCTCAAGAAACCCGAATACGGAGCCCCAAAAAACCCAAACCCTAAAAACTTCTAATCAGGAGCCCCAGAAACATGATGTTTTTATGGGGTTCAGGTAAGCCCAAAAAGCCCGACTGTCTGCTCTCCGGTGGCTTCTCTTTGGCAGCAATCAAAGCCTTGCAGACTTTCTCCTGCAGTCGTACCGACAACATTCGAAGTACTTTTACCTCTGGTTATCCCATTTCCGATCCCAAAACATAAGACAGGCTATCCACACAAAAATACGACAATCTAGGCTTTTCTTTTCGTAAACCCTTAGTCAAACCAAATCGTTTAGGGACTATGGCATGAAGGTCTCCAGCCTCTCTAGGTTTGGGTTCTGGTCTGGGCAGGTGGAGGTGAGGGCTTCGGCCTATACCGCCCTATAGTCGCTTGTACCTCTGTAGTGTCTCTTATGAAGTCTACGTCAATGCAAATCGAATCCGTGTAGTCTGTGCCACATCTGCGGCTTAGGATCAAGGTTTGAGCTTCAGGTTAGGACTCAGGCTTCCCCGTTGAAGAAACCCGGAAAAGTGAGTTACAAAGTGACGGAATTGCTCTTAGATCAGGGAGCTACAATGATCTGCAGTTACATTAGGAGCCGTGAGCCTTTCCCGATCCCACAGGTTTAGGCAAAGCAAGATAACCCTCCTTGCAAACCTCACGTGAAACTTGAGGGGGGGGCCTTACAGTTCAATATAGACTACGATAGCTACTACGACTGCGACGAGAACTACTATCCCGGACCTTCCCTATAAAGGCCTTCCAAAGCTGCTTAGCATGGCCAGCAAGATTCGGACCAAAAGCTAGTCCATTGGAACACTTGCGTGCATGGTGCTCGGGAAAGACGTTTCTCTGGAATTTCGGGCTGCGGATTTGAAGATCTTGAGTTTATGGATTCGGCACTCCATGTAGCCGACACTGTAATATGGGGGCCGAAATAATTACCATTACTATTTGGGGGGTTCCTTCTTATAAGTATAGTATCATAGACCCCAAAACCCTATTCCAACTCTTAACTTAAGGCCCCTGTATTACAGGGTTTTGGGATGGCTCTTCAGGTCTCACGATCACTGACCTGCAAGGCGAGTCCACCCTGAACCCTAAACCCCTGAACCCTAAAACCCTAGTCCACGGGTCCAGAATGGTCTTCACCTGCTCGTCTGAAGATGGTGTGACACCTTCCGCATGTCCCCAAAGGCTCCATGTACCCATATAGGAGATACTTAGGCCTTAAAAATACCTATGTAGGGACCCCTTTAAAGCTTAGGTATCTACTATAAATAAATGTACATGGAGCCTTCGGGTTCCTCAACGGCGGATCGAGGGCCAAGGAGGGGGGGGCGTATCACGAGGCTCTTTCACCCTAGAAGCCAGGCAGTATCACTGTATAAGCCCTTTTGAGACCGGACTTGATGACTGCCTAAGCCCTAAACTCCAAACCTTAAACCCTAGAAGCCCTAAACCCCAAGCCCCCAATCCCTAAACCCTAATTACCTAAACCCCAGATTCCCCTAAACCCTCTACACCCCAATCCCTACTTGTCGGGTATCATGAGGAACTAAAGGTTAAGATTATTGGTTATATAGGGATTATACAGGGATTATACTACCCAACAAAGGTTAAAGGCTACCTAGGCTACCTACTCTACTACTAGGATCAAGACCTCTAGACCCTAGTTGCTGAGTTGCAGCTCCTTTTCTCGGAATCTGCCTCACGACTCTACAACCCGGTGCTCAACAACATGCCGACTTCGATGCTCCATCTCCATCTTTAGGGGGTACCTTATTTGGGGGTCCTTTTAAGAAGGATCCTACTAGTTAAGGTACTATATTGGGGTCTCAATCCAATCAAACTCGTGAAATGCCCAGGAACTTCACTGGACTACCCCGACAGAAAGCCCGTTTCGGTGTACCCCCCGCGTGCAAGGCTGCCTTCGAAACAGTCACGCACGGCGATTGCTGCCGGTGCCGGAAACCTCGTCATTGCACGTGGTGCTATGGTAAAGGACTTTAATCACAACTGTCACAACACCAGAGCTGGAAGCAAGCACAGAATTGCCAAATAGCTTGTCCGTGGCTGGACCCTACCGGGCCAAAGCCAGCCAGTTCGAAGCTTAGTACCACGCAGGGAACAGGCACCCTGCGGCTTTGGCTGCTAACGGTTCGCACTGTATCCGGTCGTGACTGGTCAGGTCCGCATCTTACCCTAAATAACCTATAACTTGTTAGGGTTCATACGGATCCTGGAAAGGTACGTGGTTTGCGACTAGGTATAATTATAGCCCATCAACCCTGAAGCTTCACCCGGAAAGAACCTCAGCCTCAGCCCTTAGACTGCAATCCTCCCCCTCAGCTGAGCCCCAGACCCCTGGAAGCCCTAACTTGCCTGAATCCTGCTTGCCAAGCTCCTTGGCCCCAACTAATTTATTCAGGGTTTAGGGTTTCGTCTCGTCTCTCATTCTCGCAAAGGCAGGGATTTAGACTCCCACATCATGAACCTTTAAAGTAAAAGCGAGAAAGTTGGAATATGATTATCCTAAACCCTTTATGGTAAATTATAGGGTATCCTACCCTGAAACCATATTCCAACTTTCTGGAGTTCCCTTTACATCATGGCCTGGTTGTAATTGTAGATGCCCGAAGACTGTAAAGTTGACTGCTCAGCTACTAAGTACAACTTTGTAACCTATACCATGCGCCCTGAAGATCGATCCAAGAACATAGGGTCTTAGAAATCCCTCAAAAACCTTCAAAGGAACCCGTAACTTACAGCACTCTATTGAAGCTACCCCTTTCTGCAAAGGCTCTCAGGCACGACGGCAGCAGGCCACGCGGCGGCCGCCGTTGGCTCCTGAAGGTTCTCTTATAAGCTCAATTCTCTAAAAAATCCTGCTGCGAAAGCTCTGGGTAATCAATCTTTGAGGGTCTCAGGGCTCATGTTTTGAAGCTTTGGGGTCAAAGGCAAGGCTTTGGGGTATGTTGAGCCTCATCGGGTCAGCACAAGGTCAAACGCCTGTTCGGGGGATCAGGGCCATGGGCCGTTCGGTGAAACCATGAACCCTCAAGAACAGCCACCTTCCAAACCAAGCCTGAAAGAAAAAGGAAGCTCGAAGCCCTGAATGCCAATATCCAAACTCTGATTCCCCTTTAATTTTTGGGGGGTTGTGGATTAGGAGATTCCACAAGGGGCTTTCCAGAGCCCCGGAAGCTCAAAGCTCTGCAACACCCCCCCCAAGAGATGCAGCTGCCATCAGCTGCCTGGATTAGCCCTGGAGTCCTTATAGAAATAATAGACAGAGCCCTATACCTATATCCCTGAGTAGGAATTATTTAAGAAGGGCTGCTAGCCGGTCTGTTTATTCTTTTGGGGGAACCATGAAAAAGGACAAGGCTGGCCTGGATTAGCTTCGCCATGGCTGCGCTCCAGGGCAGCAGGGAGATCGAAACGCCATTCCTCGGTGCTCGCGCCAGTCTCTCCGGCTCAGGCGCCACCGAAGGTGCAAGGGTTTAGGTTTTTTTTGAGCACCTTTTTCCGCCTGCCTATCTGTCTAAGAAGGGTTTAGGGCTTAGGGGCTCCAAAACAATCCTATAAATTCTCTTTAACCGAGAACAAAACTGCATAAACCTGTCAAGAAGAGGCCGGGGAGGGGCTTTGGACAAAAACCGACCAGTTGCTTTAGCCTCTGACAACATACGGTGGCTATGATTTCATTGTTAGGATTGGTGACAATACGTACTCAGACCTACAAACAGGTAGGTTCTGGTAGCTCATCAACTTGGTTGGCTCTTTAAAGCCTCTGAAAAATATTCGTAAATAGGGCCCTATTAAGCCCAATAAGGGAAACTATAACATGTCCCAAAGGCCTACCTAGTCAGGGAAGAGAGCCAAAGCCCAAACCTGACCAAAGCGCCGAAGATCGCACCTAGCGATCTGATTGTCGGTTTGAGACCTGTTACGGCCTAGGATTGATGATGGTGCCCTTCTTATGTGGGAGTTTGCGAAGCCCTGATATAGTACGATAAATAGTAGAATCCTTATTACAAGGACCCCAAAATGAGGTACTCTTAATTCTCGGAAACTCCCATATGTATAACAAGGGTCACTAGTCACTACTGTTTTCCAGGGCTGAAGTCTGCCGCGCTTCAACCGTACAATCTCAATCCGTAGTCTCTGCTTGCAGATGGCTGCACAGTGGTGCCTCGAGCACCCAACCACCCTCTGTGAAACCTGCATGCGCCATGTATGAACGAATGAATGAATGTATGTATGTATGTGTGTACCTGTGTATGTAATATATGTGTGCATGCGCATGCGTCTGCGTATGTGTATGCGTAAGCGTAGGCGTGGAAACAGATATGCACACACAGACCTCGGAACCCTGATGTCAGGCCGGCTGCATATCCAATGAGGTGCAAAGCAGTCCCGGGCCAATGAGCAGTTTGACACTGGGCCCCCACTTGGAACCTGGATGCAACCAAACTGGACAAGCTGCTCGTATTGTTGGTTGCACTTGTGTTTCATTATCATCTAATGTTCTTGCGATTGGGAGTTTGACAACTACAGAAAATGTCAGTGACCTACTAGTTGGGTTTACGGCTTCAGGAATGCTTCATTCATCGGTTTGGGGTTTTAGAGCTTCGGGACAAGGATTAAGGGAATATTGAGGTTGAAGGAATCAGGAATCAGGGGTCTTGACGAAGCTCGGGGGGACGGGGACGAAAGGCCCCCAACCTCAAACCCAAAGCCCTAAACCGGAAAACCGTTTCTGTTTAGGGTTTAGGGTTTAGGGTTTAACCAAACTGATGTGTCCTGTGCCTGCGTAAAGGCATTCGGAGTTGTAAGCTTTTGGAGGACAAATCTTTCACGCCCTGCGACGATGTACGGGCCTATCCAGGGGACAAGTAAGAACACGCACAACTTAGTTGCTGAGTTCATAGGCTCCAAAAAGTGTACACTTATAGTCTTAGGCTGGTGATATTATCCAGAAAAGTGTAAAATGTATCCATTCAGCTACTAAGAAAACAGAGGCTCCTATGCTACGGTCGGCGCTCCGACTTTGCTTCAGTAAAACTGGGCATCTTGAACGAAGGGTTCAGGAAGCTCCGTCCGACCCATAACCCCTTAGAACCATAATAAAATAATATGTTTGATAGTCTCTTGAATTTTATGTGAACAAAAATAGAGAAAGTCTAAGGAGACTATAGGACCGAGAAGCGCATCAAGTCTGCAACAAGGATGCACATCTCCTGACGTCCCGCAGGTCACTCACAACGTCCATCTATCTATTGCTTCTGCCGGCATCTTTTTCGGAAGCATGCTACGGTGAACCTGGACATCAGCTTTCTTTTCAGTGTGCCAGCTGACACGACATTATAGGACATGCTAAGCCTCAGGTTGCCGCGCGAGGTATGTCGGGTTCAGGGGTACAAAACTCCTAAAGCCTCCAACCCTAGTGAGAGCAGGGCCAAGAACTTGGCAGTCTTGACGCAGTTAAAGGGCCAGTAAAGTAATCCTTGAAGAGCCCTTGGAATAACCCTTATAGTAACTCTTAAAAAACCTGAAGAAGCGGTCCTGAGGCGGGACGCCGCCAAGGTTGTTCACCTGCGGGCCGTGTACTATAAGGGCCTTAACAATTAAAAGGGTTTGGGGGCCCATTATAATAAGGAACCACCAAAGTCGTATAGGTAATTATTCAAGCCCTCTATTACTTGCTGGTTTTCGGGTTCTTGGCCTACTCGAAAATTACTTGCAGCCCTGATGGACCCTTGGAGTCTCTCCGACACGCCCAGTGGCCAGGCAGATGACGCCATCCTCGGGCGCTGGGAGCTGCCGTGCGGCGCGACCGGCCTCAAGGCCTTCCAGAAGCACCTCCATGACCTCGGTTTCGGCGCTCACACTCGGACAATCCAGGCGAGGCATGTGGTTCGGAGTCATACAAAGTGAGACGTCTCTAAGTCGGTTTAGGGTTTAGGGTTTTGGGTTTTTTCCCTCCTATTTAGCAAGGACAGAGCCCGCATTGCAGGGTAACGTCGAAGCAACAAATGAAAGAGCTGTAACATGACCTCGGCTTAGAGTTTAGGGTTTTGGGCTCATTGTTGGGATAGGATTAAAATGTACTTTTCTTATTCCCTATTGGGTTTCAGTATGGGCTCCATGACCTCGGCTTTCGATTTAGGGTGTTGGGTTTAGGGTTTAGGGTGATTTCGGCTTCTAGTTCATTGTTGGGATAGGATTAAAAGATGTACCTTTTTATTCCTTACTGTATTGGGTTTCAGTACCCATAAAAATGTAAAATGCGACCCAACTATGACAAAGGCTTTGGGTTTCGACTCGCACTCTCGCACAGGCAGGCACGACTTCAGGCAAGAAGAAGGTCTCCACTAGACAGGCTAGGGGTTTCCGCGCTCAGACTCGGACAATCCATGCGAGGCGTGAGGCTAGGGGTTTAGTAACAGGGCTTATAGAGTTTAGGGGTTCAGTTGGGCTTCATTGATGTAAGGCTTGGAAGATACTGAAATAGGAGTCTTAGAGAGTTTGCATCTTACGGCTGCAAGCGAGCCTTAGGAATATTTAGGGGGTCAGCTTTGTATGCAAGCCTTACAAGACTACCTTCGGGCACACAATTAGCAGGTTGAATCAGGATCCGGTGGAGTTGTATGCAGTTTTGTGGTGTTTCCCCGCGAGAATGCGAGAAGACACTCTTTTCCTGGATTATACTGATTTTTACAGTAAACTAGGGGTCCAGTTTTTAGGATCTCCAGTGTCTCTACTAAAGCCCCTGAAAGAATGGGCGCATTAACCAGGAGTCTACATTCTGTTGAATCTGCTCCTACCTTTTACCGTAGATCCCCAAGTTACTTCCGCAAGCTCAGGCATCACCGTCGGGTATATACTTCGAGAGTGCCAGGTGACTACTATACCGGCCGCCATAAGCTGGAATAGAGGCTTGGGTAACCATACTAGTTAGACATAGCGGGGCTAAAGCGGAGATGATTACTGACTCTGTTGACCTCTAGATTACAGTTTTGGATTGGTGTTAAAGATTAGTTTAGGGATTGGATGTTAGGATTTGCGTCATTGCAGGATTGTGGTGAAGAGTTGCGTTTTGAAATTGAAGACTAACGCTTCGAGAGATCGTGCTGCTGGTTCTTGCCTCTATTCCCCACAGCCGTCTGCGCCGCTGCTGGCATGTTAGAGGCGACGATTCGGCGGTTCTTGCTGTTCCCACACCTTCAACCAGACAAATACATGTGTAGGTTTATATATGAACACACACCCCAAAATCATGTATGCAATGTATGTGTTTCTATATGTATGTATACATACAAACAGAGAGAAGCAGAGATACAGAGAAACAAAAAGGAAGAGGGAGACAAACAACAACTGCCAGCACTCGAGGGAACGAGATGCCCGGCCTTGTTGGCCTCCGCTCGCGACTCCGTGCGTGCCCCTGGCTCCCCGTGGATGCCGAGCCCGACCTGGCAACCCCAACGCAACAAGTAGCTAGTTCTTAAGCAGTATGATCGGTATTCGGATCACTCCGTGATGACCTTTACTGTAACCTTCCGTATCATGACTACTACTACTACTACTACTACTACTACTACTACTACTACTACTACTACTACTACTACTACTACTTGCTACTACTACTCTATCACTACTACTACTACTACTACTACTACTACTACTACTACTACTACTACTACTACTACTACTACTACTACTACTACTACTACTACTTTACTACTACTACTCTATCACTACTACTACCACTACTACTACTACTACTACTACTACTACCACTACTACTACTACTACTACTACTACTGCTACTACTACTTGCTACTACTATTACTACTACCACTACCACTACTACTACTACTACTACTACTACTACTACTACTACTACTACTACTACTACTACTACTACTACTACTACTACTACTACTACTACCGCCAACACCACCAGCAACACAAGCTCTAGCAGCTAGCAGGAGCACTTCCACTTTCTCTTAGCATGGCCACTACTACCGCCACCACAACCGCCAGCACTACCACTACCACTACCACCAGAAGAGCTAGTTTATAGTCGCGCGCACGTGAAGGCTACGTGGGCAGTTGCAGACACGCGTCGTCGTCGTCACTGTCACTAGCGCTGACGAAACCATCAGCACCACCGCAACAGCAGGGACAGTCCAAGGACAAGGACAAGCAACCATCAACACATTCAACACAGAAAACTGCAGCAAGCTGTTCACCCGAACATGACCACAAGCTTAAACCCTAAGCCCTTTCGCTACTGGACTGAATCATGTTGACTGCGGCAAAATACAGCACCCTAAGGTCTGAACCCTCTGGGTCCTTTTTGGGATTACCTTATAGGATTCTATGGATGAACCCCAAAAAGGAACTACCATGGAGCCTTAGGGTGAACCCCATCCTCGCCAAATTCCTGATCAGTGGGACCGCCCGAGGCCTCCATCTTGCCAAGGCCAATGGACTCCTTGCAGCAGGATTATGTTTTGGTTGTAGGGTTCGGTGGTATCGTGGGGGCCATATTTTTTTGGCCAGGGCTCTAGTACATTTAGGGACTATGGGGCATACTACTCAACGAGTTAGGTGTTAACTGATTGTACTTGTACAAACAGCAGCACTGTTAACACCTGAGCTTGATGAATGCCGCCCATAAACCCAACTCCCCAGAACCCTAACAAACAAGGCCCTAAACAGCTAGTCCCTGGACCCTGCAATATCTTAACCTAACCCCCCAGACCCTCATGAGAGGTCGCTATACATGTATCCATATCCCCAACAACAGCACCCAGAGAGCCCAATACCGCTTAATTAAACCGTATACCTTAGATTATAAGGGGCTTCATATTATGATTTGAGGGATATTCCTTAATTAGCCCGGCTCTCTGGGCAGAACACGAAGTTACCGCGGGAGCCGCAGAGTGCGGTTCCCTGCAGAGGCTGCTGCTATGAGGCCCTTGAGTGGAGGCCTCAAATGTATTTGTAGTTAACAACGAGTTCAAAGCATTCCCAAGGGCGACACTTGAATAAACAATCGGTTACGGGGCCATACTTTATATGGTTAGTAACCTACTACTTTGTAAAAACTTTATGATAATGCATGCAATGCATGCAATAAGGAAACCCAAGGAACCCCAGGGATCGTGTTACACCTACTACTCCGGCCGCTGTCCTTTGATTCATTTCACCCTGAGCACCTCTAAGCAGCAAGCGACAAATCCATCCCTGGCACCCAGGCCTCAACCCGAAGTTCTATGAACCCTAATCCTTAAGCCTCACCCAAATCCCGGAACCCTAATCCCTAAACCCTAAGCCCCAAACCCTAAGCCCTAATCCCTACCAATTCCTGAACCCCTAAACTCTAATCCCAGGTGAGAGACGGCTTTCAGTCGGCGTACCACGGAGAAGGACACACCGAGGCTAACCTTGGAAGGGTGTGGTTTGGGGAGTTTAGATGACTAGAACTTAGGGTTTGGGGTTGAGGGTTAGGGTTGAGGCGTTAGGCTGAGGGTTTAGGGTTGAGGGTTTGTAAGGGTAAGGGTTTATCGGCTTTAGGGATGGGTTTTTGGAGCATACCTACAATGAGACAGGGCAGATAGCGGGAAGACGATTAGTTCCATGCGTGTGCGTATCAGCTATATGTGAGTTTCCGGAAATGGCGCACCCTAATATGGTACCCTAAATAGTAGGATCCTTATTACAAGGGCCCCTAATAAGGTACCCCGTATTTCGGAAACTCCCATATGCAGCTTCCATCCCGAGCTTAGGGTGCAGAGCTCAGCGACGAAAGGCTCATGTCCGCAAGAAAAGGTCGGAGAAGAAGCAGAGTTTCAGGTTTGTCCTGGGGTGCGGCCACGCATTCTGACCTCCGTAACACTCCCGACATCCGTCAGCATAGGATTCTCCGCCGCCATGTGACTCCAACAGCCCAGGCTCTTTTGCTGGACGACCTGTAAGCTGTGAGCCTCAAGCCCAACAAGCGGAATCAAAACCGAAGCATTTCCTTGTAAAGAACAACGTCTCGAAGGCTTATAATCCCGATATCTCCGAAGCCACTATGAAACCAGCAAGCGTTAGCACGGAAATTACAAGACAAAGTTATCAAAAGTGAAACCGCTACTTTAGCCAACGGTGAACCTGCAAGTACTTCGGGTTCCTACTCGCATGATAAGATACCATACCGCCCACCCCTATTCTAACCAGTGAGGCCCCTATGCAAAATAAGCACCCTTGTTGTAGAACCCGTCTGTCTAAGTTCCTTTAAAAGGAGCCCTTTCAAACTCCAAGCCCAACCCCTCGGATCCCTTCGATACCAACACCTGATAGAACCCCTCTTTAGGGTTTAGGGACAAACCCTAAACCCTAAACCCTAAACCCTAAACCTAAACCCTAAACTCTGAAGCCTCAGCCCTCACTCCCCTGTGGAGCCCCGGCCGTTTGGGTGATGATCTCCTCAGCCTTTGCCTTGATCCTGGCGGCTGCAAGGAGTCTAGTAGGGCCCCCAAAAAAGCACATAAGCAAAATTTAGGATAGGGATATCCCATAGAAACTCCCTTATAATGAAGCCCAATAAGGTATATAGGGATATCCCTATAGAATGCTTATGCTTATGTCCTCTTTGGGCCCCTAATTTAGAGGGTCACAGGGTTGAGGTTGATGGTTCGCGGCACGTGATACATGAAAACGCTTCAGACAGCCTATTCGTTTTAGATTTCAAAGTTCCGTATGCAAGATCCCCTAATTCCACTGTTGCATGGGCGATTTTGGGTTTGCGCAGGGCTTTATGGGAGCCGGGTGAAGCTGTATGATAACTCCTAAAAGGTCGTATTGGAGTCTCTGTGACTCTGTGCAGCCTTCCTCCCGTCCCCTACTTCAGGAGTTTGGGTAGTTCAAGGTAGAGATGCCAGCGTGAGGACGGGCTCGTTTCATGCAGGATGCTGCGTATCCCAAAACTCAAGCCAGCCCTCCATGTTCGGGGTAACTTCTACCTTGGGGTTCTACCACCGAACCGATTGATCAAGACGCGCACAAGATCAGCACTGCACACCCCAAGCGGCCTCCACGGCCGCAACGTTGAAGCCGAATCTCGGAAACCCAGCCCAAGGATGAAAAGGACTCCTTTCCCTGAGCCCCAAGCCTTCTTCTACAAAGAACAAACATGCTAATCCCTGGCCGAAAACCTCCAACCCTGAGGCCTTACAACATCAACTCCTAGTCTTCAGGCCACGTCGCTCACTGAGAGATTTGCCTTCTTCGGACATGGCACCGGCCACCTGTCGACGGGTGTGTCTTTTGAGATTCGGCCCCCTGTATTCACCTCTAAATCCGGCAGAATCTTTTGAACCCGGACCATGACAGCAATAGGATGGATGTACATCAAGACCCATAGATGGTTCGGGCTCAGGGTCATGGTGCATACATTCCGAACTACATTCCGGACAGCCTATTTAAAGGATCATGGGACTTGGTAACTGGGGTGATAAACAAGGTAACTATGCTTTTAACCACTTGTAAACCCACCTTGAGGTACTTTTAACCTGACTTACTCAGTCCCATGATCCTCCAAGTAGAGCCTTGAAGCACTCAGGTGTCTCGACAATTGTGCGTTCAAGGCTTTGCGAATTAGCCCTTTGGAGCCTGGCCTTGCGAAACACAATATACCTGGACTTTGGAGTAGCCAGGGAGACACAACTCTATGTGTACATGTATATATATATATACACATATTTGGTTCTTTCAATAAACACATTTTGTTCTTTCATAATGGCTCCCTTTAAGTAACAGGTCCCCCAAACAGTATCAAAGTATGGTACTCCTAAAGCCCAGTTGAAGGCATCAGACAGCACCAAATCTACAGAGCAGGCGCAGGAGAATGCCGGCGCTCTCTTAGGTGCAGCAAAGACAGCTAAAAAGTCGGGACATCACTATCCTGATGATATGGAATACCTACATGAACCATCCTAAACCCATGGCCCAGCCTTCTGAAGTTCACTGTAGAGGGTTTCTGTTGGGATCCCAGTTGAGGCATATAGGCCATAGGGCAAACACCGAGCTTAGTCCGGGAAAACCAGCGATGCGAGACTTGCAGCTGCTTCAGAGTGGAGGGATTTAGTGCTTCACGTTTCGGGCTTAAGGCTTTTTCCCTCTCGTAGGTTTAAAAACAAAGCAACTGAAGAGTCGGCCTTGTGAACGAAGAGAGTGCCGGCTATGCCTCGCTCGGCAGTGGTGGCAACGTCGTCCTGTGCCACTTCTGCTCCAAAGAACACACCCGGTTTATCAGGGTTTAGGGCTACTTTAGGGCTGTTTACGGGTTTAGGGGTTTGGGTATTTTGGGGCTTAGGGCTTAGAGTTTGTCGTTTAGCCGACAGCCAAGGCCTAAGCTTGAGAGTTCCGGGTCCCCCCAAACACCGACAGATTGCGGCTACTTCTTAAAAACGTTACCACGAAGCTTCTTGAAAAAGAAGTACATCGGGCATGTGATCTTGGTTTTGTAAACCTGAACCCTTAACCGCACTGCTACGGCAGCGGAGTCTACATGCTTGTTCATTCGAACCTCCAGGTTTCAGTGCATCTCGGATGTGGGATGAAACCTCTAATCGCCCTTCAGGCTTTCGGCTTCTTTTGGGTTTAGGGTTTCCCCCCTAAGGTCAAGGCTTGGCTGATGTGGCATACCACATGCCTGCATCCGGCAATTTCTATAGCGTGCGCTGCTTCATTTTTCAATGCTGAGCATCGTTGTTGACTTAGGCTCGGACACAGGACGTTGCAAGTTCACGCGAGTGTAACCCAGAGTTAAGCGAAGCTTACTGCTTGTTGAACCTCCGGTCTACAGAACGGTTGTTTGCATCTTACATCGATCTAGCAGATGTCGTTCGAACTTGATAGTCCCCGAATGTTGACCAATATCAAGCTACACGACTGAAGTTTGCCTCGTCAATGCGTCGAACGAATCCCTGCCCTAACAAACTTAAAGAATGAGAGCCCAGTAACTGCATATACTGCATGTCAGCTTTCTGTGCTTCATGCTAAACGCCAAGCCGGAAACCACAAAACCCGAAACCCTTAAGGCCTTAGCCCAGAACCCTTCGCCCCTAAACCCCAAACCCTGGAACCCCGAAACCCCTAAACCTCTCCCACTTGCCGGGTATCATGGGAACTAAAGGTTAACCTTTTGGGGTATATAGGGATTATATAAGGACTATACTACCCAAAAAGGTATAAAAGGTTACCTACTCTACAAACCCTAAACCCTAAACCCCTAACCCCTAAACCTCTAAAGCTTCATCCTTGGTGATGACCGTCTCCACCTCCAAGCCATAGATCGAACGCGCCTAGAGTCTGAGAAAAAAAGCACCGGTGAAGTTGTTCTTTTAGGGTTTGGGGCTTAGGGGTTCTAGGGTTTAGGGTTCAGGGTTGTTCTGTTAGGTAGGGATTGGGGCTTAGGGGTTTTAGGGTTTAGGGTTGTTCTTTTGGGGTTTGGGGCTTAAGGGTTTAGAGTTTTGGGTTTAAGGGTTTAGGGGCCCTCGAAGAGAAGTCTAGGGAGTTAGGGCTTCAGGATGTCGTTTTTAGGCAATACTTACCTTTGGTTAGTAGGGAATGGAGGAATGGGGTACAATTAGAACTACTATGACTACCATTCTTCCATTCCCTACTAACCAAAGGTAAGAATAAAGGTCAGCGGTTCAGCGTTTGCATCATCATCTGCTGTTGGCCGTCCTGTGCATGCAGGAAGAGACGGATAGTCTCGGAATGCTTGGGGCATGTACTTACCTATTTAGGGTTCAGGGTTTAGACTATAGTCTCCGTTGTAATTCCCATTTAGGGCTTGGCTTAAGGGGTTTTGGGTCTAGGGTTTAGGGTCTAGGCCCAAAGGGTGCAACGTACCTATATAGTAGAATGTAAGGCAGGCACTCTATGTTAGGAAATGCAATTATGGTTTGGGGAAGCATCCTCCATCAGAGTACCTCAGACCCTTTGGTGAGGTTTGGAACCCCAAAAATCCGAACTTCCTAAACCGTCATAAACCGTCACGCCCCTAAATGCGAGAATCTGAAGCGGCATGGTTCAGGGTTTCGACGCTCAAGCTCGCACTCGGCAAGCAAGGCTCGGGTAAACTCTCGCAACTTGGGCAAGCCAGACTATGTGGAGTTTAGGGTTTAGGCTTTAGGATGGTTCAGGCATCAAATGCTTTGGGTCAAGGAGTTTAGGGTTTAGGGCTTATGGAGTTTCGACGCTCACTCGGACAATCCAGGCGAGGCATATGGTTCGGAGTCTCACGAGTGAAACTTCTCTAACAGGGATGAGGTGACAACAGCTGTAGTACTATCGCGAGTTCAATTATCCTACAACTTATGGAGTTTAGGGTTGCTTGAGCTTATGGAGTTTAGGGTTCAAGTTCAATGCTTTGGGTCAAGGAGTTTAGGGTTTAGGGCTTATGGAGTTTAGGGTTTAGGTTAAATGCTTTGGGTCAAGGAGTTTAGGGTTTAAAGTGTAGGGCTTATGGAGTTTAGGGTTTAGGTTAAATGCTCTGGGTCGAGGAGCTCGCTGTGCTGCCAACGAGAAGTTGAGTCGGTCCTTGGCCAGGGAATCATTCGGCTTCGGGTTTACCTTAACCTTGAATAGCCTACCTTTTTAGGATTCCTTATGATGATTTCCTTAAAAAATCCATAAAAGGGTAGGTTATTCCGGGTTAAGGCAGAGTTTAGGTTTCGTGTTTAGGGTTTACCTATAGTCTCCATTGTAGTTCCTTTTTTGGTTAAACCAATTATATATGTAGTATCCTATACGGTAACCCCAAGAAGGAACTACAACGGAGACTATAGGTAGGTCCAGGTCTCATAAGGTTTATAAGTGTTTATCACACTTCCAGGGTGTGTAATGCAAGCTGGAAATAAAGACTTACTTGTCGGGTATCATGGGGAACTCAAGGTTAACCTTTTTGATTATAGGTATATAGGGATATAGGGACTATACTACCCAGAGAAGGTTACAGGTGACCTACACTACTACGAGGGAATTGAAGAGCTTTGTCGGGCTCAGGGCTTATATTTCCGGCTTGCAAACTGCAGCCTAAGCACGAGCCTAAATCCTCACATCATCTCATGTTGGGACAAAGCCTGATTTGACACTCACTCCCGAAGCCCTAAACCCTAAATGCTGAACCCTAAACCCTGAATGCCAAGCCCTAAACCCTAAATGCTAAACCCTAAACCCTTTACCCGAAATTCGAAACCCATAAACTCTAAGCCCTAAAGCCTAAACCCTGGCATGGATTGGGGTTGGGGAGCTCGGGGGTCTGGCAGTCTGGGCTTTAAACGGGTTTAGGCCTTTCCGGGTTTGGGGACGTAGGGTGTACTGGGGTTTAAGGTTTACGCTCTCGCAACTCGGACAATCCAGACGAGGTTCACGCGCACAGGGGTTTAAGGTAAGGTCTAGGGCAAGACAGCTGAGTCTCTCCGGTGTAGTTCTTGATGATGAGTAGACCTGAAGTGCTCTTCGCAGCACTCACAGATCACAATGCCTCAATGGCTCAAAATCGCTCTGCGAACATGTACGTCTATGTGCATGTATATGCTCGTTTTCAGATGTACGTATAACGCCTCGCTACAATAAGAATGACGACTACGAGCCTTAGCTGGAACAAGTACGGCGAATGCCAGAAGCAATCTTTCTTTAGCAGCCTTGCTGCTGTGGGGCCTGTTAGGTACGGTCCCCATACAGTAAGAGTCTATAATAGGGCTACTATTAAGGTCCTAATATAACTAGATTATGAATATTATTCAACTATTACTGAGTGGGGGCCGTACCCAAGGGACCTGGCTTTTGCGTTCAAGCGCGATCTACGGGGTTGAGGGGATCTGCTCCATGCTGGGGCTCTTATAAGGGAGATTGTATAGGGTAGATTCTTATAAGAGACCGTATATGAGGTTTAGGGTTTAGGGTAGGTTCTGATATAAGGGATCTTATAAGGTAGGTTCTCATCGCGATAGTGGGTGCAAGATCAGAAATGATGCTCTGAACATCAGCCGTATACCGATACAGCGAACACGGGTCTCATGGAGAACAAAACTCAACGCGAGAACCGCCAACAATATCATGTGGGTGGTTGTCAAAATTATGGTCCCTTTCTGGGTACGCTAAATATTAAAATTTAGGTGCCGTATTATAATAAGGACCCCAAAAGGGACCCTAATTTTGACAACCACCCATGTAACAATATCATCTGTTCCTTTGAAGGGTTCTACAAGGGTACCTTTTAGGGGTTCCATTAAGGGATCTATAGGCATGTAGCAGCATGACCCCTAAACCCTAAACCCCTAAACGCTAAGAAGCGGAAGGGTGCTGCTGAGCGACAGCCCTTCGGGCCAGTCACTTGGACCTGAACGGGACGGTGCAGATGTGCGATGGCTTTGCTTTGGGTACGGCCCCCATACAGTAACAGTCTATAATAGGGCTACGATTAAGGGCCTAATATATCTATATTATGAATATTATCCAACTGTTACTGAGTGGGGGCCGTACCCAAGCTTTGCTACGTAAGGAGCGGCCAGCCAACTTCAATCCCAAGGGTCCATGTGCTCGATGCATGTTTGGCCTTAAAAAGGGGATACTATACGGGTACTACAGGTACCAATGCACACCATGTGATTTGACTTGGCAGCTCAAAGGGCTGTAATCTGTAACACAGAGGCGGCCGAAAAAGCTAGGAGAATGGGTTTTAGAGTCAGCAGATTTGTTTACAAGGGGACACAGGAGGATATTGTTACTATTATTCCGACCTGTTTCATCATGGACATCAGTCGGTGAGAAAAGCGCAGCAAACGAACCTGTGGCAGTTTGACCAGGTCAGAACATACCTAGGGTGTTTGTGATGCTGAAAAATGATTGCATCGTTGGATGTGTGTAGGAGGAGAGCCATGCATGGCTTTCACGCATGGAAGTTTCAGCGTGTAAGTTCCGCGCGCTTGCGGCTTCCAATCCAAGGCTCTTAGGATCTGCGGACATTAGTTAATTGGGTGTGGGGCATCTCCGTGTTTGCATTGCGGCAGGAAGCTCATAGACGCACATCGCGATGTCGCTTCTTCGGAGATTACGCTCCAGCCTATGACAACGACTTAAGGCTTCCGGGGACCCGATGCTTGGGGGGCGGAGCTACTTCTAGTAACCTTATAGATCCCCTTAGTAACCTTCTAGATCCCTTATAGTAACTTTATAGATCCGGTGCCAGCGGCGATGCAGTTCTTTCGCCTCTTCCGGCTGACGAGCGGCAATGGCAGCCAGGACGGCGTCGATGGAGGGAGATGCAAAGGTCTCACCAGAAATCGCTGCCGTGAGCATACCTAAGGTGTTAGGTTTAGGGTTTCAGGTGAAGCTGAGGGCTTTTGTTTTTTTTGAGCTCCTTCGTCCAACTGCAGGAATCCACATGGTAGAGGATTAGGGCTTATGGTTTAGAGTCTGGAGTTCGGGATATGGTTTAGAGCTTGGGGGTATGGTTTGGCACTTTGAGGGTCTGCGGACCCGGTGCGGCTGGAAGATGAACCGACTACTACTACTCTACTACTACTACTACTCTGACTACTACTACTCTGACTACTACTACTACTACTCTGACTACTACTACTACTCTGACTACGACTACTACTACTACTACTACTACTACTACTACTACTACTACTACTACTACTACTGCTGTTACTACTACTATTACTATTACTGTTACGATTACTATTACAATTACTGTTACGAGTTATTACTATTACTATTCTTATCACTATGACTCAGCCCGGCACCCCAAACACCTCAAATCCCCCTTGACCCAACAAACTTACAACTCTTAGGCCAATAACATCTCTTCACCTGAGAGATCTGATGCTACTGCTGATGGACAAAATCCTGCATGACCCATTATAAGGGAATATACCATAGTTCCCATAGATTAGACATTACCCATTATAAGGAATATACCATATAGTTCCCATAGTTTAGAGTCCTTAATTACCCATTATAAGGAATATACCATAATTCCCATAGCTTAGAGTCCTTAGGGTCATGCAGGATTTTGTCCATCAACAGTATGGGAACCCTAACCCTTAAAGAGCTTCGACCCAACCCTCTATCCTGCAAGCTATGTCTCTACAGTGGAAGCTTACGAAAGAGAAGCAGGAAGCGACGACAAAATGCTCAAACAGTTGTCGGCCTTCGGGTATTTTCACGTATTTAGGGGCGTTCAAGGTTGGGTGCTCTAGGGACTCCAATATCCCTTAATTAAGGAATATTCCTTAAATGATGGTAGGATCCTTTATATGATTTAAGGCATTGGGGGTGCTCTCGGGCTGTGGCCTACCCAAAGGGACGGACTCGCCTCGCCCCACGAAGCCGCCGTGCATTGGCTCGTGGCCGGCGCCACCCCCGCAAAGCACGGCAACCTGCGGTGCGGGTTCAGGGTTGAGGGCTTAGCGCTGAGGGTGCACTGGATTGACACAACCCCCACTTGATAAGGATTATGGTGTATGGAGTCCATTCTTTAAGGCCTGTTCATTACGGGGGTACGTCCACAAGCAGCGAGGTTTAGCATCTAGAATTCTGCCAGGGTTCTGGGTCAGCTTTATGACCATAGGGTTCAGGCTTCAGGATATCGAAATCCGATGTCCGAGTCTAGCGCAGGCTCAGAATGAAGATTGATGCCTTTCTCTGGACAGTGCAGGGCATTACGGCGCAGGGCTTCGGGTTTGGCTTAGCTGTGGGCGTAGAGCTTACAGGGTTTGAGGGCAACCTAGTTTTCAGATCGCCAAAGGTCTGGCTCTCCGAGTTCAAATTCTGTAGGTACCATCTCTGCAGCACTATCCGAGGCCTTGTCTTTGTTCCAGTCCGTGCGGTAGACCACTTTGACGTCCTCGACACACACACACACACACACCCACCCACCCGCCCACCCACCCACACACAGACAGACAGACATAATTGACATAATCACAGGCGATCTGTAAACGAGCGGAATCCCATGCCCTCTCGGCCTATGAAATACTGCAGCAAGTCTCCAGTAAAACCTTGAGTCCTGCTCCTATGTCCGATGCCAAATCAACTCGAAAGCTGGCGGGCCCGAAACCCACTAACATGTGGGTGGTTGTCAAGATTAGGGTCCCTTTTTAGGTACCCGAAATATTAGGTGCCGTACTGTATTAGGGACCCAAAAAAGGGACCCTAGATTTGACAACCACCCATGTATCAGAACAAGCCTCACTCGTACTCTCCAATTTGCAGCCGGGTGACGTGATGCATGGGGTCAGACCCTGTTTTACTCACTGATCACCCTACATCCTCGTTATCTCGAGCAATACCTGCAGCTGCAAAAAGTTTTCGAAACTACATGAGATCGACAAACCGGACATCGGCACTGTTCCTTGATCTCTTCTTACTTTCGTTTGTTTGTAGAGTTAAATCTAGAGCTTCCTCCGCGAAGGCGCTAAATCATGGGGTTTTGTAGGGTTTACCCTAGGGCTCCAGTGCCCTAAATAGTAGGTTACTGGGGTACATAGTATATGGTTAGTAACCTACTATTTAGGTAACTGGAGCCCAAGGTTTAGCTACCAGAACCCAGCGCAACAAGAAATCCCGACAGAAGGATCTGAATAAGCAGAGCAGGCTCTTGCGGTATATTATAGTAAGTATACTTATACTATCAGGACCATAATGAAAGGCACTAGAATACTATATAGTTATCCAGACCCCCTAGCCATTGCAAGGTGCATCCCGCACAGGACGAAACAAGGAGAAACGCTTGTTAACCTCATGCCGCAAAATCTGAGAGCATGAGAAGCGCATTCTGGTGCCAAGAGACCCTACTGACCCTTTTGCCGGAACACCTCCCAAAGCCGAAATCAGCCCAGGAACGGGATAGCCGTCCAAGCGCCCAAGATTAGGAGTCGACCATATCAGGCCATCGATGCAGTCCTCGCGCACGGTTCTGCATTCAGAGTTGTCTCCGATCGTCACTCTTCTCTTAGAGTTTCTTAGCTTGAAGCTCTCATACTTGGAGGTTCATGGGTAGTTATAAGCAGACTAACTATACTTATAACCCATATTAGGGGGCTTATAACCCTACTTATAACTACCCATGAACCTCCAAGTAGAACTCGGTCAATCACTCTCGGGCTAGCCAGGCGAGGTTAAAACGGGAGAGGCCTCGGAGCTAGGATTCAGTGTTTAGGTTCATAGGGCCCTAAAGAAAAGTGTTCGAAACAATGATGCACTATAACATGATAAAATACAATAAATACGAACAAAAGCCAATATACTATGATCATACTATAGGCCTGTAAGATGCTAAGCCCAACCAGCACCGTAGCTGCTGAGGCTCCATGCAGTGTTGGGGTCGTTCAGTTCATCGGATCCCCGGGGGGGGGCGGAAGGGGGTACCAGTTTCAGGTCATCGGTTATGAAGGTGTAGAGTGATGCTGTCTGTAAGTTGTTGCATATTTGTTAGGGCCGTAAATTCTGAGCCTCAAAAGTCTCATGTAAGGGGGCCTGAATCATTGAAGCAGGACACAGGGGCATGTTACGGTGATGCTCAAAGCCGAATAAGTTAAGGAAGTTTGGGGAATAATGTGGGCCATCATGTAGGAGTGTGATTTGAAGCTTCAGACCTAGAGATTCTCACGTGGGGGTGACCTGCCGTCCAGGCCTTGCAAGCTCGGACTATCGTGATTCTTCGTCTCACACTGGGATTTTCAGGTTTAGGGGGCATATGCATATAGGTTCTGTATGACTTACAGATCTTGGGGATGCTTGGGGCTTGAAGTTGACATGGATGCCTCCTGGCTACATGGCGAAAGGCCACGGCTTAGCGCACATGAGGCTTTCACGGGGTGAATACGTTTGCAATCCCCAATCCGTGACACCTCAGCCTCACCGCATCTCAGTGCTTCCTTTATGCATGCATTTCGAGCCACATCGTCCGGAGCTGTCAAGATAAGCTAAGAATTCTCCGACAGAGGACCTGTTGCCTCTGTGGTCTGGAGAGGGGGCACGCGAGCCAGATGTCATCGAATCCGCCGGCAAGACGTCGCAAAAGCTGCACATCTAATCCGCTGTCCCAATAGTTCTGCAGCTATGTACTGAAGGGTCCATTTACTCTATTGTCATTCCTATGATACTGCTTCTACCCACCATTTCGCGCTTCGAATATTCCTATTCCCAGCATGGAGCCGGATTCGGAGGCATTCAGCACGGGCTAGGGCATGCCTCGTGGCAGGTCAGCACATTGAAGCTCGAAATCCTCTCTGACAATACCTGCCAGAGCACGTTCACGCATCTTCAGGCGTCCTGCGAAAGTTGAAAGAGCAACCCGGAAGGGAAGTGCGTAAATGGCGAGGAATGAACCAGCTGAGACACGATCCCCTAAACCCTACTGTAGGAGGAACCCTACAGCCTCACCTTGCCGGGATGCAAATGGAGCGGGCGTCTAAGGCCGGTGCCCCAAGGAAAAGACTCTGAACAGAGCTGGCATTCACACTCGGCCAGCCCATCTCTAGGCGATCTCTGCGGGTGCCTCAACATACCTGAGCAGTCGCGACAACAAGGCTGGTGTGTCTTGATTCCTTCCTCGACCTCTTCATCAAGCAAGCATAGGGTCCACTGATGAACCCCATTGAACCCCCAAACTCACATGGTTGCTTAACATGCCTATAGTTAGTTAGAACCTTATCTCCCCTTCACGTATAGGACTTTTAGTCTCTGACATTGGCTATTGGCTGCACATGGCTGTGCCCATGGAAAGCAAACGCAACACTCTTACGATCTCTCGGATCTCGATGAGAAGCTTGCAGACAAGCCCTTATGGATGCAGGTTGCGCAACTCAAGGAAACGTTCTCCTGCAGCACGTTAGGTGCACGCACGGGACTAGCCGGAGTGAAGTGCAGTCACAAAACCAAAGCAAGCAATACTAGGACACCGGACAACTCCGACGGAAAGCTGCTTCTAGGTTTATGGCTTCGGCTGGTGTCATTCAGGGTCATTAGGATTGCAGACTCATCCTCTTGTTTACTCGTGTTCTGCATTTTAGCTACTTGCCATGCAAGATGATAAGCTGTACTACCTGCCGTCTCGCAAGTGCATCTTAAGTATGAGCATAGGTATAGCCTTTGAGGAATGGGGCGGGGGAGAACTCGGAGCGCAGTGTCGCATCAAGATGCAAAAGGTAGTCGTCGGCCCCGTTCCACTGCACCTGGCGGGCGATTCGAGCAGGTAAGTTCGCTACAAACCCTCGACATATAGCTCCGCATATGCCAAGCAATAGCTGAGATGCATACGCAGATGTAGAGAATATACAGAACTTATCGAATTGCAACGATCTTCGCTAGCCGCCTCGGCTCAACGTGGAAGCATTCAGTTGTGAAAGCCGACAGTTGCTTGGAGGTTCATGGGTAGTTATAAGTAGGGTTGTAAGTAAGGTAACTATACTTAAACTATTATTAGGGGACTTATAACCCTACTTATAACTACCCATGAACCCTAAACTCTATACCCTGACAGAACCCCTAAAGACCCCTTTAAAGGGACCCTTAAAGGGAGCCTTATAACTACCCATGAACCTCCAAGTAAGCATGCTAGCAAACGAGGATTCTCCGGGTGCGGCCTACTCCGACAGGTGAAGGAATTCAATAAGCAGGCTCCAAAGAGGAGCCACTATGTAACAGTTAGGCAAGATGTATAATGTATAATATGATTATATGACTCCTAGGCCCTAGTATGAACTGTCACTGGGAAGGGGCAATACCGAAGCAATGAACTACAACCTACCTAACCCTAAACCCTAAACCCGAAACCCTGAACCCTAAATCAAACCCAAACTCAAAGTCTATCCTGAGCCCGGAGGTTCCTTGTGGGCGGGGGGGTTCAAGGTGTCTCCGAGCAGCGAGACAGCGGTACTCTCCTTCTCTCCTTCTCTATGTCCCTATCTCTATATATCTATATATATATATATATATATATATATATATCGATATATAAATTTGTATAAGGCTCTATTATGCTTACTCTTTCTCTGAATGTATGCATACTTACATAAGTACATGCATGCATGCATACATATATACGCGCTTGCATACATGTGCATCTATTGAAGGGGTGTGTGGCGATGTGCTCATATGTGCACACAAAAGAAAACAGAAACAAACGAGCATCAACGTGTACATGCAGTGTAGAGCTCAGGTTTAGGACCTGACCGCATGGGCAGGCTGCATTTGAGCACATGACCAAGATTGAACGGCTTAGAGTTTAAGGTTGATGTTGAGGGATGCTTCCAGCTTGGCTGGCACGCACCAGCAATACAGCATTTTTCTTACACCGGTTCCTATGTTACACGCACTTCAGAGACCAAGTATACACATGGACCCTCAGGGTCAAGGGTGTTCTGTTCCCTCTCGAAGCGCCAGGCTCGAAGCCCTACGGAAGTCAAAGGCGAAACTCTGAAGCGCTACAGGCCCTGGGCCCGGGAGGCTATGCTAAACTCGAACTGCTAACTCCGAATACAAATCCAAACCCGAACCCTTCTATCGGCCCAAAACCCGACAGCATAAACCCTAAAGCCCAAGCTTCAAACCTTCATGCGGAACGACAAACCCTCGATTAGTTTCACAACATACAACTATAAATCGTCAACCCCAACATCACAAAACACCCCGTCGCCTGGCTCCGGCGGCGCAGGCGCACTGCCGCGGCGGCGGCAAAGGCACCGAGCGACAAACCACCGGCCACGAGCAACCTGAAGAGGATAGGTTCGACTGTCACTCGGCCTAAAGTTACCTAAACTACCTAATCAAAGGGTTATGTACAAACGACCTAAGTAAAGGGTTAGAAAAATGCATCAAGGTTATGTAGTAGTATTTGACCTACTGTCTGCTCGAGCCTTTCAGGGTTTGAAGGGGTTTCCCAACGGATTTGTGTTGTGCGGATTAGGGTTTAGGGTTTAGGGTTTCGACTTCTCGATAACCCTAGGGTTTAGGGTTTATTGCATTGGGCTTCGGGGTGGGCTTACCTTTCAGGGATCGTGCACAACTTCAGTAATTCTGCTTCATGGGGTGCTGCGGAACCAGTGACTGCAACCTAAGCACAAGAAGTACCAGTGCTAAAACAACCACCACAGCTATTGCGATGCCAAGCTGCAGTGGCTGTGACCTAGCTGGAATGGTCGCGAGCTGCGTGGCTGGAGCCTGTTCCTCCTTTGAAACTGCATTCTGTGCGACTCCATAGATGTTACTTACTGTTCTTCCTTCATAGTTCCTGAAACCTGAAACCCCAACCCCCTCCAGAAAACAAAATCCGGAACCCTGAATTTAAATCCTGAACTCCTATGTCCCTTGAAAAGGCTTGCAGCGGGTCCTTCTGCTCCTTTGCCTGCTCCTCCTGCTCTTCCTTCCTCTCCGCAGCCAGCTCCTGTCGCAACTTCTCCTGACCAGGACAAGTTGTAAGATCCAGGCGGCTTTTTGCGATTAGGGTCGGCTCGGCGCTTGGGCGGCTTTGGGGTTGGTTTATTAGGTCCTGAGCATTTCAACCTTGGGTTTTAGGATCTAAAGACTGTCTGGCTCGTTTGGGCTTCAGGGTTTGGGCTTGCACACGCCCGTACTGTCACGGTTTAAGGAGTTCCCCCAAGAAAACCCTCGATCCCCAACTGGTAACTAAAAACATCACAAACTCCAAACCCATAAATCCTAAATACCAAACCCCTCCAGGTTTCCCTGCAAAAAAGCCGCGTTAGAAACCCCAGAAATACTAAACCCCACTCAGGAAATCTACAAAAAGCCGCATGAAGGATCCGGCCTTCTCCTCTGCGAGCTCTTTGCTCAAGCGCTCGCGCTCCTCGGCCAGCTCGTCGTGCAGGTGCTGCTTCTCCTTGTTGCATAATATCGGGGCCTTAATGATTAAAGTAGGCTTCCTTGAAAGGGGTCTATATGCGGGTTACTATAAGGGCTATGAGGATATGGTATAGGGCATATTGTTGTTTCATAGGGTTTAGGGTTTGGGGCATAATGTTGTTTCATAGTTGGGATGTTCCCAGAAAACATGGTAAAAACTCCTTGTTGCTTATGAATGTTTTGATTAGCAGCCACTGATAGTAATACTGTCTGCGCGGCTATTACGAGCGGGCGGGCGGGTGGGTGGGGGGGTGGGCGGGTGGGTGGATGGGGGTGGGTGGGGGTGGGGGGGCGGGCGGTTGCAGGTGGCTGGGGCTTGGTGTGTTGGTTGGGTGGGTCGGTCAGGCTATAAGTACCTTAAGTGGGCTTATAAGTGCTTATAATATAGGCTTATAAGTATAGCTACCTTATTTATAGCCCCAGCTACTAAGTCCCATGATCCTTTAAGTAGGGCCCCCTTAACAACGAAGGGATCGGATTTGGGCTAATGGTTTAGGAGTCTTGGGCTACAGATTCAGGCAAGGAGTACTAGAATTAAACGGTGTGTATGTACATATAACTATAAGTATAAATATAAATATGTATATATGTATATTATATACACATATGTAAGTGTATGTCTGCGTACACAAACAGATATCTAGGTACATAGATACAAAACCACCTCAAAAGCGGCTTTGAACACACACAGTCCCAAGATGTCCCAATCATAGCTGTGTGCCTCTTCAAACAGTAAGGGTACCCTTTTTCCTCTTTTTGGTAATAAGGGAACCCCCAAAAAAAGGAATGGTGTCGCGAGCGAGGTCGTTCGAACTCGAAGGTTTGAAAGTTTGAGAGTTTGGAGGTTGAAGGTTGAAAGTTTCAAACTTTGAAGGTTTGAAGGTTCGAAAAGTGCTGGAGTTCGAAAGTTTGTGCACCTTGGTGTGCACAAGCTAGCCGCGGTCAAACTTCGAACTTTTCGAACTCGAGACTTTCAATCTTTCAAGCTTTCAAACTCTCGAACTTTCAAGCTCGACTGGCTGCTTGAAACTCAAACTTCAAACTTTTCCCGCGGGCGAGTTCGATCGGCCTTCGAAGTTTGAGAGTTCGAGACTTTGAAAGTTTGCAAATTCGAAGGTTCGACGGTTTCAAACTTTGAAAGTTCGAACGTTCGAAAGTTTGAAAGCTCGAAAGATTCAAAGTTCGAAAGTTTGAAAGTTCGAAAGTTCGGAGTTTGAAAGGTTGGCTTCAGATTTCCTCTTCGGCTTGGGCTGAGGTGACGAGTTTGAAAGTTCGAAGGTTTCAAACTTCGAAAGGTTTCATGTTCGAAGGTTTGAAAGTTTCAGAGATCGAAAGTTTGAAAGGGATGAAAGTTCGCGAGTTTGAGAGTTCGAAAGATTGAAAGTTTGCAAAGTTTGAAGGTTTGAAGCACGTCGAGCTGCAAAGTTTGAAAGTCCGCTGAGTTTCGAGCTTGAAAGTTCGAGAGTTTGACAGTTTGAAAGTTCGAGTTTGAAAAGTTTCAGAGTTTGAAGCGCTCGACATGCGGTCACGTATATGGGTGTTGTTCGCAACCTCAATTAAGTATCTTGAACAAACGCGCCTTCTTTGTTGGCGATTCCGGTTCACTTCGCCCTCATTTTGCGATTCCGGTCATCATAGCCCCTCACCACATATCTTAATTACGCTCCCATTGGGCGATTCCAGCACACCGTGTAACTTAAACGCACCCCTTGAGTTGGCGATCTTAAGCACACCCCTCATTTAGCTTTTCCGGGTCATCGTATTGTCGTATTACGCTTACTCATTTGGCGCTTTCGGTTAATTTTACATCTTACACACGCCTTCTCTTTTGGCGATTCTAGTATATCTCAAGCACGCCCAAAGGACGTTTTGGTTCATTTCTTCGCGGCTTAAACAAACGGGGAGTTTGCTGTCTAAAAGCGCATCCCCCCCCTCCCCCTCCATTTGCAAAGCTTCCGAACCACCCAACATGAATATTATTTTCGCTTTTAACCCCCCGATGCGTTTTCGTGTGGCTTTCTCCTTTGTGTGTCTTGGAGAAGACTTTTCCCGGCGACTAGTGGTACTATTCGGGGGGGGTGGCGAGGGGCTCATGGGTGAAATATGATAGGGGGGCTTTGTAGTGTTGGATCTGGGCGAAGTATGAGAGAGGGGGTTGGGTGAAGTAAGTAGTCCTCCAAATCACTGGGGTTGGGTGAAGTACCTAGTCCTCCAAATCACCTTCCAAATCACTCATGATCATAATGCTCTTTTCTTCGTCTTTAACCCCCCTGAAGCGTTTTCGTCTGTTTTTCTTCGTTTGTGTGTGTTGGAGAAAACGCGGCTTAAGAGAGCAGGAAGTTTGCAGTCTAAAAACAGCGGGGGGTTGAGGGGGGCGCAGCCCCGCCCATTTGCAGAGTTTCCACATCATTCATGAAAGAAGGGGGGTTTTGGGTGAAGTACGCTTGCAGTCTAAAATAAGCGGCGGGGGGGAGGTTGGGGGGCGCAGAGCCCCCTCCCTCATCTGCAGAGGTTCAAAATCACTCATGATTCATGATGTCTTCTTCGCTTCTAATCCACCTGAAGCGTTTTCGTGTGCTTTCTCCCTTGTGTGTGTTGGAGACTGGGGGGGGCTCGAGTCTTGGATTTGAACGAAGTATGAGGGGGCGGGGCTCGTACTCTGGTTTTTGGTGATGTATGAAGGGGGTTACGTTTTATTTTTTTCGCGGCTTAACAGAGCAGGGAGTTTGCAGTCCAAAACAAGTTGGGGGGTTGGGGGGGCGCAGCCCCCCCCCCCTTTCAGAGCTTCCAAATCATTCATGCTTAAGTTTTGTTCTTCGCGTTTAGCCCCCTGAAGCATTTTTGTGTTGCTTTCTCCTTTGTGTGTGCTGGAGAAAGGTGGGGCTTAAAGTCATGGATTGAGGAAGACTGTAAGGGGACGCCTCGACGTCTTAGATTTGGACGACGTATCAGGGGAGGGGGATCTTAAGAGAGCACCCCCATTTGCACAGCTTCTTAATCACTCATGATGAATTTTAATTCTTCGCGTTTAAACCCCTGAAGTGTTCTCGTGTTGCTTTCTCCTTTGCCTGTGTTGGAGAAAGGGGGGCTTAACATCTTGGTTGTAGGAAGACTGTAAGGGGAAGGGGGAGGCTCGAAGTCTTGGATTTGGACGAAGTATGAGGTTGGGGGGGCCCGTAATCTTGGTTTTTGGTGAAGTATGAAGTGGGAGACGCTTTCATTAAGTTTTTCTCGGCTTAACAGAGCGGGGCGTTTGCAGTCTAAACAGAGCGGTGGGGTTCCCCGAAGACTCCAAGCCCGGCCCCCCCCCCCGCCCCCCCATGGTCTTCCTAAATCCAGAACTACAACCCCCCCCCTTCATACTCTTCCTAAATCCAGGACTACCTGTCGCCCAGGGGGGTCCCGGGCTATTGAATCGGACTCGGAGTTACCGGGCCCAGACCCTAAAATGAGGACGTCAACATGGTTTCAAAATCAAACTTTCAATGTATTCAAACTTCAAACTCTTCAAACTTACAAACCTTCAAACTCCCAAACTCTCAAACTTTGAACATCTCAAACTTTCGAACTCCACGGCTCTCAAACTTTCAACTGTCGAAATTTGAAAACTTCAAACCTGCAACCCCCCAAAGTTTGAAATTTTGGAAATTTCAATCTTCGAAGCTTTCGAACTTTCAAACTTTCAAACTTCCTGGGTTTCAAACTTTCAAACTCCAAGCTCTCAAACTTTCGAACTCGAGCCTGAGGGCTGCTCTGTGAACCCCTACGCGTCTCCAGCGGTCCTTCTCCTTTTCAAACTTTCGAACTTTCAATCTTCGAAGCTTCAAACTTTCAAACTTCCTGGGTTTCAAATTTTCAAACTCCAAACTCGCGCCCGCTTTCGAACTCGAAACTCTCAAACTTTCAAACTTCAAACTCTTCATTCTCCAAACTTTTCAAACTTTCAAACTCTCGAATCCCGTCCAACATGTACTACGTTCAAACTCTCAAATTCTCAAAGATTCGAGTTCGAAAAACCCCACTCGTGACACCTCTCAAAAAAAGGAGAATACTCCTGGGGAACCAAGTTTAGGCATCGGTAGGTTGGGGTCCCTAAACCCTAAACTCCAGCAACCCTAAACCCTAAACCCTGAACCCTAAACCCCTAAACCCCTAAAACCCTAAACCCTGAACCCTGAACCCTATAGAATACACCAAAACCGTTAAGCCATGAGCGGTCGCGCTAACCTTTTACTCAGAGGGCTTGGGCACAATAGTCAGCGGTATATAGTACACAACATGATGACTGTACACGACCATACAAACTCCTACGCAAGCTGCGATGCAAAACTACACCCCCCTCACCTAAAGGCACGGTCACTGCATTCAAAAACACAGCATACCTTCGCCTGCAGGTGGAAGAGCGCTTCGGCTCGGAGTTCGACGATCGGCGTGGAGTTGCCTCCCGCGTCATCAGTTGTATCAGCAAAAGTACATGTGACTATCGTGTGCCTCGAGGAAGGGTGCGAAAACTGCATGCAAGCTTTTCTTCAAATGCAAGACGCTGGTTTCAGCGTGGAGCAAGGACGATAGGAGTTCGCCGCACAGCCACTTGAAAAATATCACAGGCCGGGTGAACATCCCTCTTGCTCGAAAGAATCAGACTACTGGGTCGGCTTATCAGTACCAACGCCATCCGCGATTGCGCCACTCACGCCAGTCCTGGTTGTCCCAGTTCTGGCCGCGCCATGATCCCCAGGATGACGAAGACCAATTCTGCCACCAGGATTGATTATCCCAGTCCCAGTCGCGGTTGGTGCGATCGGCGGCCTCGGCGTTAGCCGGGCTTTTGCCTTTTCCCTTCTCTGCTGCTCGGGCATATGTAGAGCCCTTGCCACCACCTGGCGGATGCTGCTGGGCATACTTCGGCTGGGCAGCACGACTTTGATTGGCCTTTTTGATGGTTTCATCAACCGTCTCCACCATGAAGGGTAGGTC